TAATAGTGTTTTTGGCCACTGGGGACATCAAAATCAAAAAGTAAATCGGTCCCGGGTCTAGGTCTTACCATGCCGCCAACAGTTATAGTTTCTTCCCTATATGGAAATTCGCTAACATATAATCAAATGTAACCGGACTTAACATAGCCTATACATCAAAACAGGCTTTTTTATTTTCACTATAGGAATAAAAATCAACTTGCAATAAGTTAAATTCAACATCAATGTTATAAACCAGTACTTACATAACTTATTTTACTAAAATCATATACATCAAAGTTACTTAATAGAAGGATTTGTAATAACTTTTATTTTTTGGAAAATTGTTTTTTGTATAACATTCATTGAAAAGCAAAAATGGTTTCATAGCCGTAAGTTAAACCATAGACAAATAGAATAAATGTAGACTGCCAAAGGAAGGCGCCCACCGCTAGGGTTTGCCGTGTAGTTACGGCGCACACCGCAGCAAGCGGGGAGCGCAGGAGCCGTATGCGACCAGCAGACGCTGCAGCGGTGTGCGCCGTAACTACACGGCAAACCCTAGCGGTGGACGCCAAAACTTCTTCTAACCGCAGCACAGCTGCCGGTCTATATTTATTCTATTTGTCTATGGTTAAACATAGATTTAAAAAATATATATATTTATTTATGGGCCTATTTAAAATTGCAATACTGAAACAAAAGATTTTTTTAACTAATGTAAAAATAATTATGCGATTGGTGATAAGCAAATTTCAGAAGTATTATTTATCAGATTAACGTACCTCACATAAAGGCAGCAATATTCCCTTCATGAAGGCTCCTGGTTTGAAGAGAGACTTCCTCAGAGCCTGGTAGAGGTGGTAGTTGAGTCGTTTGTACTCAGCAATGTCGTCCCTCACTCTAGGCAAGAGCACCAGGTTGTAGAACCTCTGAGCCATCTTCTCCTTCAAATTGGACGCAAAGATTCTCGTTGCCATGTACATCGTAGCTGCGCTCCACCGTTCGGGATCTGCATAGGTTAGAGCCAATATGTGATTATATTGACAAAAACGATGGAAATACATGACATTTTCAGGTTTTCAGGTAAGCGTTGGTTTCAATAGGGATTTTCACAGTAATTACCTTGAATATTATAAAAATGTATGTTTCAAACTGTTACAAATTTTGTATAATACCCTTACCAAGGTATGTTGCCAAATATGACTTAAGACATGTCTTCAGAATTATTTAGTATTTTTAGCATCAAGCAACGTTTCCATCAAAACATGTTTAAGAAGCATACAAAATTACAAACAACACACTGAGAATAAACAAAGACACACACCCTCAATTATTAAGAAGGGAAAAACAATGTAAGGATTTCATACAAGGTCTAAACTGCGGAAAAATTACCTGTTCTCAACAAATATAATATTTAAGTATATTTTATCTATTTCAACCATTTCCATGAGGTAGCCTATATTCTAATAACTAATTAATAGTTAGTAACCTTAAAACAGCCAAAATGCAAAATACAAGAAATGTACATAACACAAAGTGTTCAATGGAAAAAGAAAATCAAAATATACTTAGCTTAATTTAAACTACCCTTGCGCTATAGCACTCTTTAAGATTGGTCCACTTAACTCCTCCACCTTGGTCAGTAAATTTTACATTCATAAATAATCTATGAAAACCAAAAGTAAACATCCTTACAAAACTACAACTGCACAACTGCTACAACTGTACAACTGTACACCACACTGCATCAGAACACAATTCCTAATATGGAAAAACACCTTTCTAACAACTTTTTACTACAAAACTAGTGATGTGGGCCGGGTAAATACCCAGTGGGTAGGTAAATATAAATTGGGTTTTTACCCGGGTATTTACCCCAGGCCCGGGTAAATACCCAAAAACTGGGTATTTATAATTTTTATTAAAGTTAGAGAAGATTTAGATGTTTTTTTGCAATTATTACCTTGTAAGGATAGTAAAATTATGATAAAATGTGTTAAACAAAATTTCATATGGTCTCTATACTGGCATTTTACTTCTGGGTATAATCGGCATAAATACCCTGGTCGCATGGTTGCACTGGTCCTGACTACTTATGATTTTTTAATTTCTATGATAGATAGGCTAGATGAATTTATTTTATTGAAAGTGAAAAAAAAAATAATTTGCAAAGTAATAATTATTATTTAGAAAGACTCAGGAGGAAAATTTAACCTAGTAGTGGCCTATGTGTAAACAACTTAAGAAAATAATTTTAAAATTAAATCTTTAGGATGGCAGGGTTTAATAATATTTTTGTTGGTATCAATGGTATCAAAATAAAACAAAAACTTATTTCATAAACTTGTGATACAAAACATTTGAATATATAACACAATAAATCTTTCAAAATTATATTAAGTTAGACCAAAAAAACATGAGATACGTTTTTTTAGTAGGTTTATCCAAATATATTATTGTTTCCAACTAAGCGGCAACACAGAAAAGTTTAATTAAGCCTAGGCCTACTTAAAAGTATTCCATCATTCTGCCTATGTCAATCAGGCCTTATGTCTGTCTAGCCTTCCAAACCATTTATACAATAAAAATTTTGCATCATAAGTACCCAACAATTTCTGGATATTTATAGGTAAATATTGTAAATATCCTAAATTAAAATAATTTTGTTTATGTTATTTAATTGGTTATAAATTTATGAAATTATAAAAATTGAAATAGCCACAGCCTTTTTTAATATATACTATTTTTAGTGAGTTAAATTTAACTGATGTTACTCGATTTAAGACACGAAACCCCATGCTTATTTAGAAACTTTATGTATTATTAAAAAAAGTGCTAAATCATTAAGCAAGCAAAGCTTCAAGTTACTGTAAAAGGTGTTATAGACTATCCTAATTTATCATGTAATAACAATAACATATTTATGGGTAAATATAAATTAATTTCAATTGATTTCATAAATACCCAAAATACCCAGGTATTTATGGATTTTGGGTATTTACCCCGAGTTTTAAACACCCAGGTATTTTACATCACTATACAAAACTATTTCAAAATGTGTTTCCTTACTTTTCTTTGTTAAAAGATACAGCATATAAAAAATATCAAACCTGTAATGTACAAAAGTTGTTCCCAGTTTCTCACTTTAGGTAGAAGTTTGAATGCTTTTGGTAGTTTTCCGCTTCGGTATTTTGCTAACACATCTCTCACCCCTTCATACATCTTTCGTACTCGTGGGTCAATGTTTTCAACTTGAATGCCTTTTAAAAAAATATTTTGATTAAGATAGTGAAACATGTAATTTAGATCAAATAGACTACATAATATTACAAATATTTTTCAAAAGGGGAAAGATTAGGGACAAAAATTCCATTACAGTAGTCAAATGATACAATGTATTTGGCTTATAAAACAATAAATATTTGGAAGAGGATGTACCAAAAGCTTACGGTACTAAGATTGTAATCATGGATTACAAATATTTCTACATTTATGCTAAAGGACGCAAAGGACAGAAAGCAGCCAAATGCCCTCGGTTCCTAGAAGTAAAATAGATGAATTATGGAGCACCAGCAGTTACTCTGTATGATTAATACACTGGTTTAGTCTAATTAATGATATTATTTATGTCGCTGTCATGAAAATGACAGCCTGTGAACTTACTTCCGTTGTCAGAGAACTGTGTTTGTATTTCTGTACGTTTCTCAGTGAACTTCTCTCGTAAGACATCTGCTAATGTCAACTGTGGCTTTGGATTCTTGCTCATAAACATTTCTAACTCCCTTTCATCTTCTTCGCTGATTTTCTACAAAAAAGAACAACATTTGAAACACTTGCTTGCTTCACATACTAATTTTATTTATATTACCTACAAAATGGCTATAATACATTTTTGGTAAATAAATATCAACTGGATGTCTGTTGCTGGATGTCGGTTACATGTATTTGATAGGTACATGCAATCAAAATGTTGAACACTGATATACATCCCTTTCATTTTAAAATACCCCCGCATCAACAAACCTGCAGATTTTGCAAATTTCCATTTGCCTGGATTTTCACTCCCAATATTTACTTAAAAAGTACTAAAAAGTAGTCAAATGTATTCTCTTTTAAATAAACAATAAACAATTTAATGAGTACAGTACTAAGGTTAGCCGCTACAGGAAAGGCAATAAAATGTGTTTATAGTACCGGTAACTTAAGCCTTAAAAATTGATAGCTTAGTATAAAATGAAAATTTAGAAATTCAAACGTTTGAATTAGCCTAAAAATTAAAATGGTTCAGAAACAAATTTCTAAGTGTTATGTTTTGAGTTTTATGTAATTACAAATTTAATCAAAATAGGATGATTACTTGAGTTATCGTTCTAACGGAGACATATATATGATTATAGATAGATCTCCCTACTTAAATCAGTCCCAGGTCTAGGTTTTACCATGAATCCTACAATAGAATCTAATTCCCTGCATGGGAAATTCGCTAAGACTGAGAAAAAGTTATAGTAAAACCACAATAAAATGCAACACAAGCAGTTATTTAAATTGAATGTAAGATTTTACCTGTTGAAACTACTTTAGAATGTGAAAATAAAAAATATTCTTTGTTACTGGTACTGTTAAAAAAAGTTTGCTGTAAAAAAAAACACTAAACCTGTATGTTACTAGCTACTAGGCTAATCCTTTTTTAAGTTTTTTTTTAGGATCACAGTTAGTAAGAACCAATTTGCCAATACAGTTCAAATTCATAATTTGTACCAATTGGATAAACTAACATACCTTATAAAATGAAATTCTAAGCATATTTTACAGCTTAAATTGCTAATCCCAAAGGTTATGATTCTGAAAGGAGGCAAGAAGGCAAAAGATACAAGCTGTAGGGAAAAAATAACAACTGGCAAAATTTATTCATGTGGTTTAGGAGATTGCCACTAACCGGATTGCCGAAGTCTGCAGTGCCATCCTCTACATCAGAGGTGTCGGAGTGCTCTGATTGGTCATCTCCTAGACTAACAGCTGCTGCTCTCTGGTGGCCGGAAGCTCCATCTGTTCCCACCTCATCCTCTAACTCTTCCTGCTGTCTGCGAGCTTGTATCAGAATCCTCTGCGTAAGCTTCGAGTCAACAAACTGAAAACAGGTCCTTCTGATCAAGCAAAGAAACCAATGTTTTTAAGACAAAACTCACTTTACTCAAACAAAGATCTGAAATGTTGCCACGTGAGCTGAGAAGCCACCCAACGCCTTAACAGTTAACTTCAATAAGCTATTTTATTGAAGATTGTGGTATGGTATTTTTAAATGTAGTGGATTTTTGGTTTGTGTTATAAATTGGACATATAATTAGTTTTGTTCTTACAAAAAGAAGATTATTATTAAATACCCCCGCCGCAGCAAACCTGCAGACTAAGCGAATTTCCATATACACAGCTGGAATTCCACTAAATTATTCCCTTAAAATTGTCAGATTTATTTCCTATTTAAACATAATTAATATTAATGAGTACTTAGGTTTGCTGCCACAGGGAAGAAAATAGGGGGTTTTTATTGAAATATTAAATAGCTCAGTATGAAGTAAACAAAATTTCAAAATGTCATTAATATAGGCCTATGTCCATACACAAACAAGCTACAACACTGTATTTATTCTCTATAAGAATAACATGGTAATTTTAAATTTACATTATTTTGCGATTTTTCCGTAACCGTTAGGCATGCAACAATGCTTCAATATACAATATTATTTGTTTTTTTGAGCTCTACAAAATGGTTTAGAAAGAAATTGCAAAATTTTATGTTTTCAGGGTAAAATATGAAAAACCCATTTTTACCCCATAAAACCCCCCATAAACCCCTGTTCCCATAGTCCGATCATGCTGGTTCGCGAACTCGTTCGAATAAATGTAGGTTTACATGTAGGTTTATATATATATATATATATATGAATTTGAACGGATGGTGTTTTTGGCCTCTGGGGACCTCAAAACAAAAAACTAAATCGGTCCCGGGTCCAGGTCTTACCATGAGACCTACGGTAATAGCTTATTCCCTATATGGGAAATTCGCTAAAAGCCAGTCAACAAAATTTGTAATTTAAGAAGATATGTTTTCTTGAACAAAAAGCAGTGGTATCATCTGAATACAACGTTAAGGAATTGGGACAAACATAAGCACCAATGTCATTTAGACCTACACAAAGAACAAAAAGCAGAGGCACAAGAATAAGAGGCTTGAGGGAAACCATATTTAACTTCAGCGAGTTAAGAACAGCGTTCTGTGTCAACCTCAACATAGCTTCTTTCCCTGTATGGGAAATTCACTATAGGGTGAAGTGGGGTAAGTTTACGCACAGGGCAAGTGGATGCGTTGACTATAAATAAGCCATAAATGGAAAAAAAAATTTAATTCATCTTTTTATGTGATTTGAAATGTGATCTTTCAGATTCTGAAGTCAGAAATCATCATTTATAATTATTTATACATGAAAATTAAGTTTTAAAACACCTTTGAATTCCTACTTACTACGAAAGTACCGCCTTCAAATTTTGAAAAATCATATAAAATCAAAAAATAGAAATAGAAATTTGAAAATTGGTACACTGATACAGTTTTGTAAGAGGAATCCAAAAATGTGGTTTAGGCCTATGTAACTCTAAAATGTATTGTTAAAATAATAGGGGGGGGCGTACACGTTTTCCCCGGGCCAAACAGTGGTTGGGGTAAGTGTACTTCCAGCCCCGGGGTAAGTGTAGGCTACATAGCCCTAAATGCAACATGAAAAAAAATGCATTCGATGACATCGGGCCTGTCGTTAAGTTTATAAGAAAAAAGGTGACAACATGTTTTACTGGCCTGAAATAGAAGACTGTTCAGTCATTCCTGAAGAGGATGTGCTCAAAATCCTACCAGAACCTACACCAGGCAGAAGGGGGGAGTTAATATTTGACGCTTCTCTCTTTTCTGTCAACGTTCAATAAAAAAATAATAAAAAAACTATAGCTGTAAATATGTACCTAAATAATAAGTATTTTCAAAGCAAGTGAACAGTTCCTTAAATATAGTGTTGGTGAAATAGTCATGTGGCCTAATATGAACTGCTTAAGAATTATTTGGCGGAATTTAAAAAAAAGTAATTTACAGTGCAGAATTCACCTCCAGGTAAGAATTGTATACGTATATTTAAAATTGTGTTTTTAGATTCTAACTAGCCTACCATTATTTGTGAGATATTTAAATAAGTTTTTTACAGCATTTAATTCATTTAAAATAATTTATTAACACACTAATAATAATTATTGTAAATGTACCAACTAGCCGTTTCACGAAAATTGTATGCGGAGTTCCACAAAAAAGTTCATAACTCCTGAACGGTTGGAGCTAATTTAACAAATAAAAAACCATTTTAATCAGCAGATTCTAAGCTATGCTCCACTTGGCTTTATTTATATTTTTACTTTTTGCAGCAAGTATAAAATATTTTCTTAATTTGGGTAGGCCTATTACATTTCCAAAAAGCCTGATGGATAGCTATGTTTACTCGTGAGCCTCTGATGTCAATTGTTTAAGGGTAAGTTAAAGGGGGGTGTTCCATAACATGTCCTACTGGAAGTTTTTTTCAATGTGATCACATATTAACAATGAGTAGTTAGCTACTGCCTTCCAGCTTATTCATTGATACAAGGGCTGCACTTTACTTTAGGTCTTACATCTTACATCTTACATCCGGCGTCTTCTCCACGATCAGCCGATCGGGGAATCGTCAATTCAAACTGCAGGGTCTTCTTTCTTCACGAGGCGAGACGTGAGAAAGTGTGGTCAGACACAAAGTCTGAGATTTTATAGTAGGGCCTATCAGCAAGGTATTGTTTAAGTTTTATGTTGAATGTGCGTGTTGGTGGTAGATTTTTTAGGTCTTGAGGCAAGAGATTGTAGAAAAATGAGCCAGAATAGGTTGGGGTTTTGTTAAATTTTTGGAGTCTATGCTGAGGTAGGTCAATATTGTGTTTGTTGCGAGTGTTATAGGAATGTTTCTCTTGTCGTAGGGTTGGGGATTGTTGTCTGGCCAGGATTATGGTTTCATAGATATAGAGGGAATAGACGGTAAGGATTTTGTGTTGGGTAAAAAATGGTTTGCAGTGCTCCGAGGGTTGCAGGCGCAGTATTGTTCTAAGGGTCTTCTTTTGCCGAACCAAGATGCGGTCTGTGTTCTTCTCCTGGGTGGATCCCCAGGCGACGATTCCATACCGCAGATGGGAAGAAAAAAGTGAGTGGTAGGCCAGAATTGCAGTGTTTTCATCAGTTATAGCTCTAATGCGTCTAATTACGTGGTGAGCCGTAGCTAATTTTTTGCAGAGATGGTCGGTGTGATCTTGCCAACTCAAGTTTTGGTCTATAATAACTCCCAAGAATTTGGTTGATGCGGTAACGGGAATCTTCAATCCTTGCCAGTCCTCATCAGCTCTATTACTGTTGTTTGGCTTGAAACTTATGTGAACGGTTTTTGTGGTGTTAATGCTGAGTTTAAGAGACTTGCAGATAGAGGTAGCCTCGTCCAGGGTTGAATTAACTATGTTGCTATTGTTCTCATGGTACTTTGTAGGGATTACTATTGTTGTATCGTCTGCGTAGAGTATGGTTCTCAGATTATGGTTCAGTGACTCTGGTAGGCTATTAATATAAATTAAAAAGTACAAAGGACCCAATATCGATCCCTGTGGGACTCCTACCACTGTTTTCATTAAGGATGATTTGACGGTTCCAATTGTGTTGTGGTGCTGATAGCCTAATTCGACAAATTGTTGCCTGTCATCAAGGTAATTTTTAACCCAATTTAGAGCTAGGTCCGTGATATTGAACAGTTTAAGTTTCTGAAGAAAAATTTCCCAGTTTAAATTGTCAAAGGCTTTTTGTAGATCCAAAAAAAGAGCTGAAGCGCTACACTTGTTTTCCCACAGATCATTTATGGTTTTGCATAGATGAGCTATTGCCGTGTTGGTACTATGACCCTTTCTGAAACCGTGTTGGCATGGAGATAAAAGATTGTAGTTTTGAAGGTGGGTGGATAATTGGTTATAAATAGCACGCTCAAGCAGTTTAGATATGACTGGCAGATTTGAAATTGGTCTGTAATTATTGGGTTCATGTTTGTCGCCCTTTTTAAAGACAGGGTAGATTTTTGCTATCTTTAACTTCTCAGGCACTGTGGCTTGTTGTATGGAGCTATTGATAATATGGCAAACAGGCTTTAATAGCTCTTCCTTGCAGAACCTGAGAATCTTCCCTGTGACATCATCAAATCCCGCAGAGTTGTTAGGCTTAATACTGCTACAGAGTTTATCCAATTCCCGTTCAGATATGTAGTTGAAAGAAGACAACGGTGGCACTCCTCTGTCAGGTTCCATCAGCTTGATGTCATTTTCTGGTTGGTTGGTGGTATGTTCCAGGGTAGGCTGTGTATATAATTTGTTAAAAATATTGCTCACGTAATAAGGGTCATGTATTAGTTTGCCATGTTGCATTAGGCTAATTTGTTTTTGTTGTGTAGTGCTCTTCTTTCTCTCATTATTAACTATATTCCATATAGCTTTAGTTCTATTGTCAGCCTGAGCTATTTTTTCTGCAGTGTGGCGTCTTCGTGTACTATTAACTTGTTGGTCGTAAGCTCTCTTTATGTCGTGGAAACCTTCCTTGTCGTCCTCTGCACCAGTGAGCAGATATTTGTTGTGGGCAATTTGCAGAGCTGCTTTTTGTTCCAAGATGTCCTTGTCCCAAAAAATATTTTTGTTTGTTGTTGAGACCCTCTTTGGTTCCTTAGGCATAATGTGGTCCATGTTGAGTCGAAGAATCCTTAGAAAGTTGTTATATTTTTCATCCACAGATCTCAATGCATAAACAGGCGCCCAATCCACTGTACTTAGTTTTTCCTTTAACTCTTTCAATTTAGCCTTAGAAAAATTTCTTGAGTATTTATAGGTAGCTGGCTGGTGTTTATTCTTATTTTTAACTTTACATATTAAATAGTGGTGATCCGAAAGACTGGTCAGGTGTGCTTGTACAGATATTTCATCTGGTTGTAAGTTGGTGTAACATCCGTCAATACTAGAGAGAGATGTTGGAGTTTTTCTCGTCACAGGAATATCATATGCGTAACACCCATATTCAGCCAACAGGCATAGGAGATTTTTTACACCCCGATTGTCAGGCTTCAAAATGTCAAAATTGGCGTCGCCTAGGATCAGGCAGTAGTTATTTTTCGTGGTGTAATTCTGTAAGACGTGTGCCAGTTTTGTTAGAAAATCCTCTTCAGTAGTACTATCAGGTGATCTGTATGTACCAATCAGTATGATGTTATAGAATTTATATTTTAGTTTGATTGCAACAGTCTCAAATTTTTGTTCTTCTGCCGTACATAGTTCCTGGAGTTTAATTTCTTCTGAGTCGATATGAAAATTATTTCTTAGGTAAAGTGCAACACCACCCCACATGTGATGGATTCTACAGAATTGTGATGCCAGCACATATCCTTCAATATTTGTAACTGCGAGCTCTTCACTCTTTAGACCGTGTTCCGACAGGATCAAGATGTCAGGCCTAATTTTGTCTACCTCTATAAGCAATCTGTCAATTTTGTTTTGTAGTCCACGCTGTATGTTGAGATGGAAGATAGTTAATGGTTTGTGGAAATTAATATTGTGCTGTGTGTTGAAAACTTGTCGGATATGTTGGTTGTTAGGCTGGTGGGGGGTGGGTTTTGGCCGGTGTGCTATGTCGTCTGCGGGGAAGTCGGTGACTTGGAGTTTGGGTGCTCTTGATTTTCATCATGGCTCTCATCTACGTCCTCTGCAACAGGTCCGATGATGTCAATGTCCTACACTCATTTGAATGAAAATATCGATCGATATGATATATCAATTGTTTCATTCGATATATCGTTTGGTTAGGCCCTAGTTACCCTAGGTTAACCTAACCTAACTAACCAAACAATTTGTCCAATGAAACAATCGAATAATGGATATTTTCGTTCGAATGAGTGCAGGACCTAAAGTAAAGTGCAGCCGAATCATTGATTAAAAGGATGGCTGCACTTTACTTTAAGAGTCTACGCCTCCTGTAAAAATAGAGTACTACCTTATTGTAAGAATCCTATGTTGTGCTATTAAAGTAAACTTACAGCTTCATCTTCATCATGCCTAAATCTCTCTTTCACACGATTTTTGCTTTTGGCTAGGTTATCATCTTCAAGTTGTTTATCTAAGGCAATATTTTTTACTGGCTTAGGACCTTTAATCTTTTTTACTTTACCCATTACAAATTAAAATTTTATAAAACTCAACATATAAATCGATAATTAAGTAAGTGAATGTAATGAACAAATAAAACAAATAATGTTCATGCTAATTGACAAAATGACAATACAGACCAATCCGTCAATACCAAAAGAGGAAAGAGGTTATGTTATGTTATTCACCACATTCACACAGCCACAGCCACAGCCAGCCAGCACTCAGCAGCCAGCCCATATGTAAGAGTTTTTTTTATATCACTCTGTTCAGTGTTCAAAACGTGGGCTCCCAGATTATCGACATCCCAAGAGATCGCCACTGAAATAGTCCCATATTGTCAACAACTCAAAATATCGACAGTGTAATTAGACCAATATTCGTTAATACCAAGGCAAAAATGAGGTTCGGATTCCACTATAAACTGTAGGTCCCTTAGTTGCCATTAGCTGTATGGGCTATTAATAAACAGCAGTATCTAAGGAATATGTCAGCCTTAGTCACTAACAAGACTACAATATATCGCGCCACTCATCCTACACTCATCTCCATTCATACTTGGCTTGAAAGACTACTTTGTATGGTCGCCATTTCATTGAAAATTATTAAACATCACCCCCCATAAACATTCAATTATTAATCAATTATCAATTATTTAAGATGGGGACGCCATTCCTATACGTAGGATCCTGCTTGGGGGGGGGGGGTAGTTGTCCGTGGAGCAGTCTTCCGGTGACTCCAAATTGTAAGCAAACACACGATCTCTTTAGCTAAAGTGTATGAAAGTCCTGTCCTGGATAATCCTCTCTTCCAACTCAACACTCTTATTAACCCTGAACAACATCGCTTATTTCTACGCGGTCGTTCATCATTACAGTACCGTAGGTAGGTACAAACGTGTAAACCTACGTTCATTCGTACGAGTTCGCGAACCAGCATGATCGGACCATGGGAACGGGGTTTTATGGGGGGATTTATGGAGTAAAAATTGGTTTTGTTTGAACTTGTTCATTTTATAACTTTTATCTTTTATTCTTATTCTGTGGGTTTAGGTTGTCTAATGTTATAATTTTAGCTCAGTGGTCCTAATTGTTACATTCACTGTGTTACTGTCAGTTTACATTCAATCATTTCAATCACCATTCTCAATTCTTCTTCTTCTCCTTCTTCCGTTTTGTTTAGGTCTCTATCGTTCCGTTCCATCATCAGGAAGCCTGCAGGTTAGATAAAATTGCAATACCTTTATCTGTTTTAATCAACCTAATCATAAATGCTAATATGTTTTTATATACAAGCAATACAATTTAATTCTAAGATTGGCTTTTTGTTCAAGAGATATCATAGCTATTTTAAAGTTTTTATTCAAGGTCTATCAGTTGCATCCAGACCAACTTACTGTATTAGGTTAGTGTCCTGATGTTTTGTCAGAATGTTAAGCTATATAAATTTCCTTGCATATTACTGTAATTATTTGAGCAAGTTTTCGGAATCGATATTACGGATCTTGTGATCGAAATAACCTTCAATGTTGTACTTGTTTACAAATGACTAAATTTAGGCAAGTTAGTCCTAGGTTCCAGTGGGTAATGTCGATTACATGTCTACTTAACTTAAATCCCTTAGCCTATTCCAGCATCGGTTAATATGTATTTTAGGGTTTGCAACCAAATTTTAAATTTCTTTTTTCAATTTTCATTTGTCTCGAAATTCAACGCTGAATCCGAATCCAGTGTAAAAACAGTCTGGAGATAGGCCTAACTTAAAACTAAAAATCAACAACTGGCTGCACTTCAGTTTACAACCTACACTCATTCGAGTGAATACATCGTCCGATATAAGTTAAGTTATCGATTATTTCATTTGATATATCAAAGTTATTTTAGTTTGGTTAATCTAACCTAACTATAACTGAATGAAACCAACATATCTCTGAATTAGTCATTAATGATTGTAGTAAACCTGTTATTTTTGTAAAATAAAGCACTTTTCGTTTAATTTATTTCATTTCATTAACTTGACAAATCCATGTTTCTCACACGTGGACAACTTTGTGTGGCCTGCTCTCATTTTGGAAAACCAAATACTCTATTTGTTTACGCACCAAACGGTAAAACTAAAAATAGATTGTTTACAAAAAATTCTTGATTAGGCCTAATGTGTTGAAGTGAAAAGACGTTTTACTGATTAACCCTTCGAGTGTTATGTGTCGTAAAAGCGACTCATAGCACATCCGCTGTAGTGGTAAGTTATGTGTCGCTTTTGTGACTCACAGACACTGTTTACGGCGACGGCTCTGGGACTGACTGAATCGGATTGAACTGGATCGAGTTAGGTATCGTTTTATTCAGAGCTTTCTCCTGATGTCTGTTTCTATACGCTTTTCATTTTAGTTCCGAAAATATTGTAGCAGACAGCTGACTTGCGTACTTGTGAACAGCTTTGTTAAACTCGCACCGATGACAGATGTGTTTTATTACGTTTTTCATTGTTTTAGTGTTAAAAATCAAAAGTAGTGATATACGTGGTGCATTATAAGAAGATTTAAGTGATTTTGAAGGGCTGGTTGATGATCCTGAAGAAGTAGTGTACCGGTAGTGATATTGATGTAAATTATCAGCCAGATTCCTAGCTATGGTTAGGCTATGCATTCTTAGCTAAACGCTATGTACCGAAATCTGTTTTTTGCCCATAACTCATTTATTTGCAAACCTAAGTTACTTCCTTATATTATAATATTTTTGGAATCCTCATAAAATTCTGAACAAAGTGGCTATTTTAAAATATTTGTAGACCTATAACTTATAAGTTTCTAAGATAGGCCTAAATTTTAATAAAACCCTGCAATTGCGCAATAAATGGTCAAACATTAAGACCAAAACTAGAGACACTTGGAGGGTTAATAAAATAATAACTTAAGTTAAGTTAATTAATAATATGTATTGTTAAAAATAACATAAAATTAAGTGCTCTAAATATGTTACAAAAGACCTGCAGAGATTTAATATGGAATACTGGTAAAAACATAATGGTACCGTAAGCTATATACATCTGAGAAACAAAAGAACCCTGGGCCATTTGAGCCGCGCAGGTTTGAATGTTACCTACCGGCACGAACCACGTGATCTTTTCGTTTCTGCGCAGATTGTTTTGGTCTTGGAATGTCTATAGTGTAATAAATAATACCCCCGGCTCAGCAAACCTGTCGACTAAGCGAATTTCCATTTGGCTGAATTTTGATTTTCAATTATAAATTTATTTAATTAACATTTATGTATTATGAGTACCTACCTAGGCTTGCTGCTACAGAGAGGGTATGGTAACAAGTGTGTTGTTTTAGTAAAATATTAATAACTTAGTATAAAATAAATAAATTTTCCAAGTTTAATCAAAATATATAATAAACAAACTACGGTACAACATTTGACAATTATTCTCCATAGGAATAACATGGAAATTTTAAATTAACAATTTTTTGAATTTTCTTCGTACCGGTAACCAATAATTGTACAAAAACACTTTAGTATACTAAATTATTATTTTTTTTTCAAGTTCTTTAAAAAGGTCTGGGAGAGAAATTGGGAAATTTTGCGTTTAGAGGGTCAAAAAATATAAAAAACCTATTTTTACCCCCGTAAAACCCCGTTCCCAGGGTACTGTGATCATGCTGGTTAGTGAACTTATTCAAGTTTATCCCGCCTTACACCTTCAAACCGGAAATTTCATCAAAATCGGACAGAAACTACTGAAGTTATCATGTTCACTGACACACAAACACACACACATATATCAATTTCAACGAATGGTGTTTTTGGCCACCTGGGGGGGGGGGGGGGGGCAAAATGAAAAAGTCAATCGGTCCCAAGCCCAGGTCTTACCATGCCACTTATGGTAAATAGCTACTTCCCTACAGGGAAATTAATACCTATGACTTTTTAGGCTATTTAAAGAACCATTTTCTAAAAGTTGTTTTTATATGCTATTTTGGATTTCTTATAAAAAATCTTTTGTAACTTATTTTCCCAGGTACTTATTTAGGACTCCGACCTAAGCTTAAAAAAGAGACGAACATATGCAAGCGCCAAGTATGAGCCCACAACTAGTGTCAGTTCATACTTGTCTTCATCATCTTGTTTTAAGTTTGTGACGCAGATCAGCTTATTGCAATTGTGATGAAGTGGTTGGACAAACTTTTGAAACGTATGAAACACAGTTCATCTTTAAGCCTTATGTTTCAGGATGGCTCCCAGGTACGAGATTGCTGTGGGTCTCCACCGCGGTCATAGAACTTCCAAAATCGTTGTTGGAAAAAGTAAAGTTGACAAACGCCACAAGTTGAGGCCTGCTCGCCTCAAGGGGGTACGTTGACATTTCATTGGTTACTTTAATTTTAATCAGGTTTATTTTTCTGTTTGGGCGTAAGTAATAGTGTTTTTTTTTTTTTTTATTGATGACTAACTAGATAGGGATGCCTATGAGCAAACATATTTTAGTCAAATGAATGTCAAGCTGACATGGTCTTGTTGTGTGGGCTACTCCGTGCATATTGATTACAGCCAGCTTTTTCTAAATTATGTTAGAGAATTTTGAATTTATGTTGACAAGCTGAACCACCACAGACTTGTATTTGTAGTTTTGTGTCACTAACTAGCCAAGATTTATTTTTTTTAAATATTTCCGGGGTAATGAGGGATTCTCAGTAGGCCAATAGGGACACTAGGTCTGTAACTACAGAATGGTATTAGCTAACATAGATCTATAATTCGTTTACAGAAGCAAACCAAGCACACCAAGTTTGTTCGTGACCTGGTCCGTGAAGTGTGCGGCCATGCTCCTTATGAGAAGAGAGCCATGGAGTTGCTGAAAGTATCCAAGGATAAGCGAGCTCTCAAGTTCCTTAAGAGGAGGGTAAGGGCATCTTTCTCACAATTCATAACAATATTTTCCTAATATTTTTAGTAGTAAGTAGGACTATCATGGAGAGTTCAATGTGTTTATGGTTTCATTGGTATTCTAACTATTAAACATTAACTTGTAAATATTAAGTATTTCCCCCCAATTTGTATTTTGGGCACACCAGCAGTTTTTTTTTCAATTATAGCCTACTGGTTAATCTTTTGATCCACATTTGCAAAATCAGACATACTCTGCACCTGCCATAGTGACATACCGTACAGTAATTGTTCCGAGCTTTGCAACTCAGTGGCAAGTACTTTTAAACTTGTAGTGAATGTGTGTTTAATCTACAATGTAAAATAATACTTGCAATTTAACTTTGCATTAATAGTTAGGCTAGTTCTAGTGTCGAGCCTAGAGTCACTTATCACCCAATGGTGTTAAATGTGCTAGAGGTCTCGTAAAGTAAATTCTCCTCTTATGCCCTAATTGACTTTTGTCATTTAGACACCTGAGGAAAGGGACACTATGTTTTTGTGAAGATAATACCATGTAGCCAATCTATATAAATTAATTGTTTTACACCTAAAACTTTGCAGGTCTCCATTCAAGCTGATTCAATCAAATGAAATTATTCTGCTAATAGCTTTAAGTTATTTATGTTTAAAATGGGTTTATATTTGGCCTAAACACAGAATACTTAATACTTAGTATTTGTATCGAGCCTAGAGTCACTTTTCACCTAATGGTTATTTAGTGCTAGAGGTTTCGTAAAGAAAATTCTCCTCTTATGCCCTAATTGACTATTGTCATTTAGACACCTGAGGATAGGGACAGGTGAATTACATAATGCCAACCAGTAGGCCTATAAATAATGTTGTGTGAAACTTAGATTCTGAGAAACAATTTATTTTATTAAAAATAATATCATGATGCTCCAACTCTAAGAGCTCATGAAGGGGGTTAAAGTAGGCCTTCTGTGATATATTTTGTGTTTGGAGTGGGAATTCATGTTGTATCAATTCTTTTCTTTATTTGTATCGAGCCTAGAGTCACTTTTCACCTAATTGTTATTTAGTGCTAGAGGTTTCGTAAAGAAAATTCTCCTCTTATGCCCTAATTGACTATTGTCATTTAGACACCTGAGGATAGGGACAAGTGAATTACATAATGCCAACAAGTACAGTGTTGTGAAACTTAGATTCTGAGAAAAAATTTATCGTGATGAAAAATAATAAGTTAACATAATAACATTTTTAAAATTTTACAATTCCTTGACCTCTATTTTTCTGTTAATATTTCTAGACGTGTGCAACAAGTCGATTTGAATATTAAAATCATAATAATATTAATTTTCAGCAAGTGATTGTTGAGTTTTACGATGTTTCAGCTGGGAACCCACATCCGAGCCAAGAGGAAGCGAGAAGAACTGAGCAACATTCTCACCCAGATGAGGAAGCAACAGGCTCACGCTCCCAAATAGGTTTACTTTATTTAATAAACTGTTTTACTTAAACAAACGCTCATTTATTGTGTAGAACCCAGTTTGTTCTTGTACTCTAGAAGTAGGTGTGGGAATAATTTACATCTAACCCATTGAGAAGGGGAATGCTCACAATTTAAGTGGATGTCACTCCGTGTAGACTGAACACTGAGAGACAATCCTGACTTCATGTCTGTGATTGTATCATCATTATTGTCTGAATGCTGTCCCACTTAACCCTTTGAGTGCTATGGAACGATATATTGTTGTTTACTAAAGAATTTAAAGAGGAAGGTTATTTTAACAAAAAGTAGCAAAATGGCCATTGGTGACCTGCATGTTCATTGGATTCACTATCAACCACTTAGCTAAAAGATAAGCCCGATCCGATGATTTGAGGTGTCTAAACCAAGGATTATGAACACCTCACTATGCCCCAGTGGTTGTCGTATATCACTACACACAGGTCACCAATTGTTTGCCACACAGGACGGGAATCAAACTCCAGCAAACAAATGCCGCTGGCCAAGTGACATGCCACCTAGCCTTCTCGGCTTTCTGTGCTTGGAAGATTATGGAGTAAAAACTGGTATTTAAGCTGACGTCAACAACTGCTAACAGATAGCGCACCTGACGGCGCTACAACCTAGTTGTTCAATGCAGTACTAGGTAGCAGCACTAGTTAGTCTTGGCTCGGACTATTTTGATGATATTTTTCAGCTGAACCACAACAGTGAGCATAAATGGGGTTCCTGTGGCTTTACTGACAGACAGGTTTTTTTCCAAAAAGGCTTTATTATAATAACGTTATCAAACTAAATCAAGGTTAATTTCAATATTACGTTGTAAACTATATGTACCTATTTTGATTTTATGAGATTTTGTTTTGTTTCAAATAATGCTATCAGAACATTACAATTTATAAGAAAACTTGGACAGTTTTTTTTTATGTTTACTGCAAATACCAAGACTTTTCTTGTTATATATTTGTTATCGTCTTATTATTCCAAATTAGATTGATTATAGGTATAATAGTGAAAACAATACAGTTACAATTTAACAACAGGTAATGGAATTAAAAGGCAAACAAAATATGAATTATAGGCCTACCAGTCAAAGGGTTAAAATAAATACATTGAATAATTATTTAATAGTATTAGCTGATTTTAACTACCTTTTAATGACCTGTTCAGAAGCAACTACTACCTTGATAGGTTGAAAGTGTTTGAGTAATGTTACTGAGGAAGATTTATCAAATTAAAATTGAAATTGTTTAGTAATAGGTTTTACGCCACACTACAATATTTTAATCAAGGATTTAGTCCAGAAAACAGCTGTTTGCTGTGAGCTTAATCAAATGGGGTTTCATTACGTTCTACTGAACTGTAATGAGTTTTTACCGGACACCAACCAGCTGATTGTATTTGGCAATGAGTGGTTATAAACAAAAACATGTAACCTCTCTAGAAGTAATGAGTAGTGATTGTTAGTCCTTTAGTCTGTGGGTATATATGGAGTTTTTATTGTTAAACCACCTCCACCTCTTGCACACATTTTCTTTTGTCCATCAACTTTTGATAAGCTAAAGCTTCTAGTGGGGTTGACACCTTAGACCGCAGAGAAAGATTCATACATGGTGGGCTTTCCCCCCACACACTAGCCAATAATACGGGGAGACTAATTTTGTATAGTGCTGGGAACCCAGATTTAAACTTGCTTGCTATGTCGTGACTTGAGTTCATTGGATACATTAACTTATCAGATAACCCTTTAGTATCTGACTATTTTGAAGTCAATCATAAAGAAAACAAATCTGAGATGTAATACCCTTTAATAACCAACTATTACAAAAAACAATTAATAAAATACAAAGTAAGTACATATATTGTAAATCTACTTGGGTAAATAGACACTACAAGCCAAATTCAATAAAAACAAATATTAGTTTTTAAAATGCGTTACCTATTAATTATTGTCATGATAAAAACATGTAATGATACAAAATTTCGATACTGTGGAACAACACAGCTTAACATACCATTTTATTTTTATATTACTGCCGCACATATTAAAATACCAAAATCCAAATCGTCATTGTGAAAAGAAAAACCAAGATAACAATAACATGTAATGGAAATAAATTAACCAAGTATTAATTGATTACTAGAGGTCGTCCTGTGGTCGAAACTCGACCAAAAATTTGTAATGTACAGACTTCTCTATTTTCACCCCATACTGTAAATAAAACATGTGATTGGAGTTTCTTCAATTTGTTTTGATTTTCTGTTTATATTTCGTCTCCAGCATGGAGACCCATAAAGCCCATGTTAATTTTTTTCAAATTCATTTTTTGTGTTTATTTCTGAGCCTATTTTAATTTTTAAAGGGATTCTGCACACCTACAGAAAAATATCTTTCTAACAGTATGCGAAGATTTTTCCTGCGATGCACACGAGCTGAGAAAAAAGGTTTTAAAGAAACATGCTTGCCTATTAATATATAGATAGATGTTGTATAATAGTAAAAAAATGTATGTAAGAATATATAATATCAGAATCAGAAAGAAAACTTTTTAAACTACAGGACCTGATCTTTTTTACTTATCACGTACTTATGCGTACCGTAGTTCAACAAATCAGTTGGGAGTTTGGGAATCAATCAGTATTTATTTATAAAATCAAATAATTGGCCTACATGGCATACTAAATCCCTAAAAGTGTATGCAAAATTCAATCTAAAGATTAGGTCTTGTTTAGATACAGTAGACTCCCTCTTATCCGAACTCCTAGGGACCGAGGCCAGTCCGGATAACGGGTTTTCCCGTTAAGCCGACGTCCCCAAAAACTCATTAAAACGGACCGTTTACGGTGATATTCGACTTAAATTTAGGAGAGCATTGTATTTAGACATGTGATTACTGTTCTCAAATCTTTCCCACGAGAACAGTCGTTTCAGTACCGGCCACTTCCTGCCGATCTAGTCCGGTTAAACCAATGTGCTGATAAAAATTGTCCGGTTAAAGAGATGTCATTTCCATCGAGTGTAGTCCGGTTAAACCGTTGTCCGGTTAAAAGGTGTCCGGAAAAGAGGGAGTCTACTGTAGCTAGTATACTTTTACCTCTGCACCACTAAACTAAACATAAACTAAAACTCTTTGAGGTTCTGCTACATTAAAAAATTAACGGTGATTGATTCCAAACAGGAAAACATAAGCTCAATCTTAGGAATATACTTTTTACAAATGGTTTAAAGCTTATCTCATATGGCACTTTATTCTTAAGATTTATATGTACACTTGAGCGTTCAAGACACTCCAAATCTTGGTTTCAGAGTTCATCAGACTTACGATAGTTGATCGTATGAGAGCTATGTCGAGATTCATCTTCTGGAAATTCTATCAACCATTTAGTAGGATTAACACAATTCTCCTTAATGGATGTTGAACAGAAACGGTTGAATGTTGTTTCCGGAAGAAAGCCTAATATCTCTCGTTCTTCTTGGATGCGATATGTAAACGTTGATTCATAAGTACCAACAAAATATTTTGCATGTGATGCAATAATCTGGTCGATAATAGCCAATTCCGCATCTTTAAATGTTTTATTATTAGGAATTGTGTCTAAAAACCTGATGGCGAATAGATTATCTGCGTGCAACATGCTTTTGATTCTAATATATTCCTGTTCTGTTGCATCAGTAGCTACAAATACAGTGTTTAAACCTAAATCATTCAAATGTTTCTTTATTTGTTGAACTGTCTCATGGATTGTTGGGACCGCGTCGGGATGGCCTACCTTAAATTCCTGTCTTCGCAGATGTACACTGAGGTAAGGTCCTCCTTTCGCTGATCTTTGAGGAGTTTCATCTCGAAAGTCAACAGGCCTTATTGTTCCATCGTTAACATCACTTGAGTTTAAGTGAGCAGCTCGATAATTACTAGCAACTTCAACCAGTCGTTTGGCGAATCGCATACTTCGCCTGCACGTCCAGTAGTCACTGTCCCCGTACAGCATATGTGTCACTATTTCTGCCCTATCAAACATCACAGCCCTGGCGTTGGTGGATGAAACAACTGATTCTAGAAACCCTGACGTACCATGAAAAGATATGCATCTGAAATGCTTTGTCGTAATTCGCCCGTCAAAAAAGAAGAATGTTTCATCACTTTCATTTCTGTGACTGTTTCTACACTCTGAATAATTCCACCTCTCTGACCAATCAATCTCTTTGCCCTCTGTCCACGAGTAGAAATCAGGAAAGTGCTGTAATACATAGGCTTCGTCTATTTCTTTACTGTAATCAGAAATAAAATCTTCGAGTTCAATTACTGGTGCAAATAGCTGAAGACTTGGGATATCAAAAAAAATGTTCCATTGATAAGATGCATGTAAATCATTTCTCCAATGCCAAAGTTTATTCCAAGGGGGGAGAACAAGATGCCAATCAAATTCAGATTTGTTGGATAGATTATGAATAAAGATTGCCATCCTCATGTAGACATCCCGCCTCAAGTTAAAACCTTCACCAGGATTGACATCGTACAGAATATATCTTCTAATCTTTGCCTTAGGAGAATTGTCTGAACATTTTGTTAGAGTTAAAATCAAAAAGATCAAAGTTATAATTTTATACATGTTTGAAATTAAAGGATGGACCAGTCTTCAACTACACATGGTATGCAAACTTTACGTTATTCCATCTCTCATTGATTTGAGGGACCATTAAACAGCCTAATCGAAGCTACTAGCTTAACATTCATACATGTATTTAATTGAATTTTGTTCTCTTGAAGCATGAGTTGTTTTTGTGACAAAAACAGAAGCATATTCTGAAAAAAAGAAACAAATTAGTAAATGCAAAATATATATATTATTATTTATAAGGTGGATTATTTTAAATAGCCTTGACGATGGCTCAATAGACCTATGCTATTGACACTGCTCGAAACTTTGCTTGGTATACCCTAATCACTTAACCATCCTTATACTGATGATTGATGAATGGATATCACAATAATGAGGTACAAGGGCTGTCTGTAAATTAAGGTCTCCATCAAGCTTTCTCACAACCAAGCAGCAAAGTTCAAATCTGAAACCAACATGATGTTCCTTACTCTATTCTCTACTATTCTAGCTGATTCCTATTGCTATGAGACTATTCCATTAGTCTGGGGAACACTATTAAAAAACATGAAAGAAAATGTTAAGTTTTTGTGATCTCAGTTTTCAACCGCATTTAAGTCCATTGCCAGTTGCCTTACGTGAATTGAGTATTTGGGTTTGGACATAGGAAATGTGTACAAGGGGGGGAAGGGTTGGGTTGGGAGTGGGCGCTTAACATTTGCATAATATTTCCATTGTGGAAGTCGACTGCGGTTTTTCATCAGTCTCGTTTTCCCAAAGTAATTAGGTATTTTTCATGCAGATCATAGTGTGACTGAACAAGAGAGACTATCAAAAGAGTTTCCATAAAACCATCAAGGACTACAGTCAGCCCAGGAAGTCTAAAATATGTCAATCTGCAAGTAAAGTTTCCTCAAATCCATTCACTATCTGTTGCTCGATGGAAACTGATGAACACCTGCTTCCAGCCTCATTGTGCATATGTTCAGGCTTTTACATGTTCCCAAAGCCACCAATATGAATTTTATATGTCGAAACACTCTTTTGTGAACATATATCTGTTAATTGGCAACAGTAATCACCAGGGATTGAACCCCTTCCTACAGAAACCTAACCACAGAACACAATTCATACTAGACGATAGCTTCAGGCCAATTTTCTTCCACAACGACTTTTAATACTTACTATGACCAGACTAATTGTCACACATGGGTAGTAGGAACCAACTATAATAATAGAGAACAAAGTAAGGAACACGATGTTGGTATCAAATTTGAACTAGCTTGCTTGTTTGCGACCGGACATCGATCAAGACTTTAATTTACAGACATCCCTCGTACAAAGAATTAAAATATGGTGGCTTTGGTAACCAGCGTCAAGTTTATTTGATATATTATATATGTAAATATTGATTTTGTGTCATTTACAATATATTATCGGATGAAATATTATTAGTTCGATACTACATAATACTGTATTGTATCTCGATATAATATTGATTGTATTTATTGAATAAAAACATTTTAGGTAATGTAAAGTAAAGAGATAAATAAAGATATAAAATTACAGAGAAATCAATTTGTACTTGTATCCTATTATTTACCAGTTTGTGAACGGTACATTTTGTAAATATTAATTGTTTTTATTATAAACTGAACCAACCTAAGAGTGAAAATTTAAAAACGTACGTTTTCATGTCCCTGGCCTTTTACTTCGTAGATACTGGATTTGTAGTTTATTATTATGTGTTTTTATATTTTTTGGGATGGGGGCAACATGTTACACACATTTATTTAGTTTTAAATAGGTTCTAGGTATTTTTTTCGTATTTTTAAAGTTTTGAAATTCACGACCATGACCCCCTAGGGTACATTTTCCAACTTTCACGCTGTTTTAAGACTAATTATTCATGCCGAAATATATAAAGCCATATTTTTATGTCATCAATAGTTTTAAACTTACAAAAAAGGAGCATATTATAATTTTATTGTCATTGCAAACTGACTACCATGACAAAATAAGTCTGTCCCTCGATTTGGCGTCACGACCATTTGGGAAAAATTTTCAACTTTGGAGCACGACAGTGGCAAGCCTGGCGTCGATGGAGTCAGTTGGTTCTAGAGACTAGTTCGGGGTGTACGTCAGGATTGTTGTGCCGGTTGTTTCGAGTTGAAAGGAGGAATTACAAGATTAATAAAGGAAAGATTGTGTTTTTTGTAATTTTGGTGTGTCCATGACCGTACCATAGACTAACCAACACAAGTAGACTTCTCATCCCATTGTAAATTTTGAAGCACGTTTTTCGTGTCTAGTTCATGTACGGTGACACTGGGTGCTAGTGTCGACGAAACTTTGTTTCTATTATTTTAGGGTTAATTTCTTGATTTGTGCTTTACTGTTTGGTTATATAACTAGGGGACAAGTTATTGTTTATGATTAGATCGTATTATTTGGTTAAACGAGGTTTTAAATGGCTGTAATAACGGGAAACAAATTGTAAACAAAACACGACCTCTACAGAAAAACGGACAGAACTAACAATAAAATTGGCTTCAGCTGTTCCATAAGGATGGGAAATCTACTAAGGGAGTATGTTTAATCTATGACCGTACGTAGTCATTCAATGAAGTAGACATGGTGTTAATTTTTGTTTATAAGATATTTCAATTGCTAGATTAACCTAGAAGTCCACTTTGTATCCTCGAACATGAGGTGCAGGGATACAACCAGAACAGAGCCAAATAACACGTAATTTCACGACCAAAGTTTCACGACCATCGCAGGTTTTTTCACGACCAATCCAGCCTTATGGATTATAGTGTGTTTGGTCGTGACAATAACTTTAATATATTTGTAAATTGAACAGTTTAGTTAAATTAAAACACATATTTTTATTATAACTAATAGTTTAATTGAAGGATTGTTTAGAAAGATTTAGATTATTTCAGACAATTCACGACCGTACCACTTGTCCCTGACCATCATGTTTATGATTTCTATCATAAAAATTTTGAAAATTAAAATATCGTCATATTTCAATGTTTTATACACAAAGGAAGCACACCTCTATACAAACATAACAATTTTTCAGGTCTCAGGTAAGTTTTTTCAAAGTTATACAAATTAAAAAGATTTTATTGGCTTTTTTCAATTTTTTGAGATTTTTTATTTTTTTCTAGAAAGACCAAATATACAAAAAGCTCAGTGACCTTTTTATTGTATGATGGTCATAAAAGTAAATTAGTTTATGGCAAAACATAGTTATAAAAATAATATTAACTATTTTTAATATTCATTTAAACGTCCGTTATGGTCGTGACAGGATTTTGTGTTTTTCCACTAAAGATGCTCTTTTAAAAAAAAACTACCAAAGATATTGCGTTACCATGGACATTTTATGAAACTTCAAATGTTAATGAAATAAAAAAACTAATAAAAGTTTTGAAAAAGGGGGAACAATTTTTGCAAAGTGCTTTTCCTGAAAACGTACGTTTTTAAATTTTCACTCCTAACCTAAACACTGCAGCACACTACAAGAGTGGGGGGCAGCCCTCTTCATGAAAAGACCCAAAACAGAAAATCAATATTTACAATAAGTACTATTTACATCACATGTTGTGATATGGAAAGCGAATAGGGACCTCTTGTCGGGAATTTTCCATTTTGAGTTATATATATAGGCCTATATATATTTGAAATTTATTAAATTCCGAATCACTTGGTCCAAGTTTCATGCATCTACGATTTTTTGCTGTTAAAAGTTATAGGATTTTTAACTTTTGTTATGGAAAAGGGTCATTTTGAGAAAAACTATTTTGAAAGTTTCAGATACGCATAAAAACAGTTTTTTTTTTTTTGTAATTTAAGAAACGATTTAGGTATCAAAAGAAAGCTTATAATGCCCTCTTTTGGAAACAATACCAATTTTTGTCTTAACTCACAGTAGTTTTCATTTAAATAGTAGTTTCATCAAAGCATTGTTGTAAAAATCACATTTCAGACACACACATCACATTTCTCCATAAGATAAAAAAGGTACCACTTGTCGGAACCGCAAAATTTGTGAGATATTTTGTCCTCCGTAAACTGAACTTTGTTGTAGTTCTCTAAATTTCCACTAGAATGCAGGAAAATTCATTTTTTGGACTTAAGTCTGTTTATAAAGTGAATGATAGAAATGGGAATTCGTTGTGGCGAAATAACATTGAGCGACAACAGGTACATTTTCTCAGACCGTGCAGAGGCTAACTAAATGATTTATTTCGACCTTTTACAACTTCAATTCGTTATTTTAACCAATACTGTCCCGTTCTATGTTAAATGAGGTATAACAATTGATATAAAACCCAATTTAGATATTTTCGACCTTAATTACTTGGTAGCCTACCTACCTATATCGGCCGTACTGAAAATTTTGCATCGCCGACAAGAGGTCCCTTTTCGCTTTCCACATCACAAAATAATGAAATATTTTCATCACTATCATAAGTTATTGCATAAAAATTGCATTAAAAAATATAAGTTATTTACGTTTTCTGTGGAACTGTACCCAATGACTATTATTGTTAATAGCATTGGGTGTTAGTAGGCTATAAGTCTATGACGACGACAACACTTGTTTCAATAATACTATCATACTCGTATGTTTTTATTCATTTTTTCAACTTGAGTACTTATTCTATTTTGCTTAAAAAGGTAAAAGAAACTAACCAAACATGTATGTTGTAATCTGTTATACAACTTAACCTTAACGTAGGCTAACTTAATAGGAAATCGATTAAGTAGAACAATGAATTTATACTATCGAGATTCTGCCATTAATATCACCTAAAGTTAAGTACACTATGCTCTCCTAATTTTAAAACACACTTGTCTTTTTATTTTAAAGCAATCTACACCTACTGTGATGATTGGGATCCAAATTGCCTCAGGCAAGAAAGAAGCTAGAAAGGGAGGGACTAGGCCTAGCTCTCAAAATTGCTTGGAAAATAATAGACAAGCAAATAAATAAATAACAAAATAATAGAGGTTGTATTGTAATTAGGGCCTACTTATTGATAATTCTTGACAAATAATAGATTATGTCATCATAACATTTACTGAATTTATACAAAAAGATTGAACATATTTATCTATAAAACTTCTAATCTCTTACCATGCCATTGGTAGGCAACTACTGAACTGAACTTGAAATGTTTATATTTGGATGTTTTGATTTAGGTTAGGTAATTTGACATTTACGACTATCTGATTACCAACCGAGTAAGAACAAGAAGAAGCTATGCATAGAGTTTGTATTAAAATGGTTGGTATTAAACCACAACAGCATAACAGCTTGATTGGGACTATGGAAACTTTAACGTCTACTCATACTCATTGATTATATATCTCTCTCAAGACAGAACCTTGGGTGACTGTGCAAATAATTACACGTTGGCATGATTGATCAAATTAATATTGTTTGATAAAATTGTTATGCAAAATGAAGACCAAAAATAATTTGAGTTTGATAATTTTAATTTCGATCTCGACTCGATGTCCGTCTCTCACTGGTCCAAATCCAAAGTCCGTCGAATGATGATCATTGATCAATTGATGACTCGGTGACTGATGAGTAATCTAAAATCTAATCTCTCTCTATTGACGTTATTCTTATTTTGTTATTGAGGTTAGTTTTATTCTACCTCAACCTCAGTGCTCAGTAGTTTTAGTAGTTCAGTTCTAAGGTAGGCTAAATTAATTATAGTCAAACGCTATCGCTGAGAAGTGTAATTAAAGAATAGGCCAACCGGACAAAAATATTTCTTAGATGGAATAAGTTTAAACTTTGTTGCTTTTTGAAATGCTGTAGAGTCTCGGTACACACAATGATTAAGTTAACAACATGAATTTTACTCAACATAGGCCTAGATGCAGGTGAGATATGATAATTAACTGAATGAATTAGGCTTAGTTAGTCCCTAGCCCGGGTACAGTTTCTTAACTGGCCTATGCTAATATAGATTGAAACTATCGGGTACAGTTTCTTAACTGGGCTATGCTAATATTGATTGAAACTATCGATTTGATTAGTAAGCCTTCATGCGATTTTTTCACCATCAGCAAGTTTGGTTGGTTAGGTTAGGTTATGATAGTTTTATTTTATAATAGATATATTTAAAAATATCGATTATTAATCAATATTTTCAATTCGATACCGGATAGTTTATTTTTTATTTATTTATTTGTAAACGGCAAACACCATTTTACATTTCACATTGCAATTAGCCTATATACAGATGGCCAAAAAAAGATGACGTAAAAATACATGCGTTTGACTATTACAGCTAGGCTATCTACTACCTAAGTTACACTTAATTAACAAAACAAAGTTGAGAAAATAAATATATGAAAAATATCACAGCAAGTGGCAATAAGACTAGTTACATGCAGGAACAATAATACAATAGGCCTAAATATTAACAAAGTAGAGACTAACAATAAGCAAACCCAAAATTATGAAACACTACAAAATAAATACATAGTATGGAGGCAAAAACAGCAAATTTACAGAAGAGAACAATGTGCAAGAGGTAGGTATGGTAAACTCTGAAAAAAAAAACAAAAACTTAACAATAAAGGTAACAACAAGATAGACCATAAATATTAATATAGGCTATATGAAAAAGTAATGCACAGAAGTGAGGGGAGTCGACGGCCCCGACACTAAGTCATCGCCACACTCCTAAAGAAAAGCTAATTAAAAAAAAAATCAAACATGCACTCTTCTGACGAGTAGAAGTTGGTTAGCTCTTTCCTAAGACGATTCTCGGAGAACTGAATCAGGTCGATGTAACTGGGCAGGCTGTTTCCCAAACGATGAAGGCGAGGCAGAGCACTGTGGTAAGAATACTGTGTCGAACAATGAGCTCTCTCAAAGAGTCCTCTGGATCGAACCTCCCGAGCACAACGAAAATCAACCCTGCTCAGCAATTCTGGTGAATCGACAGAGGCTGTGATGATCTTCTTTAAGAGCAGCAGATCAAAGATTTTGCGTCTCGAACTCAGAGGAAGAAGTCCAAACCGACGTTCCATCTCATCCAGTGGTACTTCAAGGCAGTGAAAGCTCAGACTCACTCCAAGTACTCGGAGAAATCTTCTCTGTACACCCTCGAGAAGATCAACATGGCATATCAGGTATGGTGACCAAACTGGCGAGCAGTACTCCAACAAAGGGCGGACCAGCTGCACATACAAAGTCCTTAGGGCATGAGGTGAAAACCCATCTCGAGACATTCTGACAACAAATCCCAGAGCAGAATAAGCCTTCTTACTTATGTTTCTTAAGTGAGGTTCTGGACTTAGATTCGAGGAAACAGTTACTCCGAGATCTTTCACTGTAGAGGATCGGTGGAGAGTCGAACCAAATAAGGTATAGTTGAACACCGTTACATTCGTGCGCCGAGAGAAAGAGAGTACAACGCACTTAGATATGTTTAACTCCATCTCATTCTCCGAGCACCACCACAGCACATTGTCCAAGTCACTCTGCAGCTCCTCACATTCAAAGTCCGTTGTTACTTCCTTATAGATTTTAGCATCGTCTGCAAACAGCAAGGACTAGGTCGTTAATGAAGATTGAAAACAGTACAGGACCCAAAAGAGAGCCCTTTGACACTCCAGATAACACAGGAAAGGCTTCAGATTCAGACCCATTATATCTCACAATAAGGCAGCGTCCACTAATATAGCTCCAAAACCACTTCAGCGTAGGTCCAGCCACTCCCAAAATACCAAGCTTTGCTATAAGGTGATCATGGCTGATTCTATCGAATGCCTTCGAGAAATCTATATAGCCTACACACTATCCACCTGGTGGTTTCTGTTGAAAGCTGAGATAATGTCGTCATGGTATGTCATTAAGTTGGTCGTTGAGGATCTGCCACTATAGAATCCATGTTGAGCTGTAGACAGAAAACTTCTGGCAAAGAAAGACAGCCGAGTTAGAACCAGAGACTCAAACACTTTTGCAAGCGTTGGCTGAATCGCTATAGGCCTGTAATTCTTGATATCCGAGGGATTGCCACTCTTTAAAATTGGTACAACGAAGCTTGTCTTCAGGCAGTTAGGAAAAACACCAGATGAAAGAAATTAATTAAAGAAGATTGTTATGTGCGGTGCAAGAATACAGCTACAGTACTTGAGTAGGTAGCGATGGAGAAATCTCATCGGGTCCTGCTCCTTTATTAGCATTCAGAGAGGACAAGACAAATTTAAATTTACAAATTAATTTACAAGTTTAAATCAATAATTATAATAATATAATCAATATTTTTAAATAGGCCTATATCTATTATAAAATTAAACTATCTTAACCTAACCTAACCAACCAAACTTGCTGATGGTGAAAAAATCGCATGAAGGTTTACTAGGCCTAATCGAATCGATAGTTTCAATTGATATTAGCATAGCCCAGTTAAGAAACTGTACCCTAGGCTATGATAGTTTAATTTTACAATAGACATATTTTAAAATATCGGTCATTAATCAATATTTTCAATTCAACAGTTTCAATCAATATTAGCGTAAATAGCCCAGTTAAGAAACTGTACCCACGATGGGTAGCCTCAAATGTAGGCTACACAAATTTTAAAATACCCGTTGTACCCATTGTACCCACGATGGGTAGCCACAAATGTAGGCTACCTGGAGGTCACAAATTGTGGATAGACCTAGGATAATTACACTGGTAATTCTGAGCAATTACTTTGTCAACCTCAAACTTTTTCATATTTTTCTACGGTCATATAGATGTTCTCAGAAAACAAGAAACATATAATTCAAGCCTCGCAAGGCCATCGTACAGGTTGCCGAGCGATAAGAAGGTTCAAAGTCCATGCGATAACAGTGGCTTGTGGGAGACGTGCGTAAGGCCAGTTTTGAAAGTACCGTTATTTTAGGTTAGGTTAGGTTATGAATTAAGCTAACCTAACCCAACCTAACCTTGCTGGGCTTGAACTATATGTTACGTTTTCTGAGAACATCCTTATGACCGTAGGCTAGTAAAATATGAAAAAGTTTGGGGTTGACCAAGTAATTGCTCAGAATTACCATTTCACTAATTCGTATGCCTAAATTACAAGGCTAAAATGTGGTTCGGATTCCACTAAACTGTAGGTTCCTTAGTTGTTATTAGCTGTAGGTCTATGGGCTTTAATTAACACGTTCGCTGCGGGCCATTTACCGGTGAATTGTAGTTTCTTTTTCCGCCACCTTGAATGCTCACCCGTGAGTGGCGACATTGACGACATTCCATTCATTTTCTGGGCAGCATCACACAGGAAAGAACGGGTATTTAAAAATTTAAATTCAAACTGTTTCTTCAACCATTAAACATTAGGCTCCTGTACAGTAGCCTAATAGGCCCTAGGCTATGTCTAATATACAAATGTTTATTAAATTAGGCCTAAATAAAAATATTTATGTCTGCGATTAGCTCTATGGGTGCCTTATTGTGGTGTAGGTTGTTAGTAAATTTCCCTGTAACTTAAAATATCATTCTGGCAAGCTTAGAAGTTAACTTATTGTCCCGTCTTTCTCCCTCCAATTGGCATACGGTACAATGGGACCGGCTATTTAGTTCCAGACAGAGCTGCTATCTGTGTTTTTCAGCAAACTACGTCGACTCTTTTTGTAACGCAGAACATCACCGCACGTCATTTGCTATTGGTCAGACTGAAATATTTGAAAGCCAAATGGGGGCTCGCTCGACGCTGCGCTGCACCGGGCTACCATTTTATGTGTCCCCAGCAAAAGTGTTAAGTTTTAAGTCCTGTCTAAGGAACATGTCGGCCTTAGCCAGTATTACAACGAAGTAACAAGTTACAATATTATAAAGTAGGCCTACCGGTAGCCTACTCATCTTTATTCACACTTGGCTTAGAATAGGCCTACCTAACTTACCTTTTTATGGTCTTCATTTCAGTTAAAAGTAAAAAGAAGTATTTTAGTTTTTAACCTATGCTTAGTTTGAGCCTACATTTTAACACTAATACCGAAACCCCCGGTCTATGAGTCCCCATTTGAAAAATAATGGACCCCGCTTGGACACACACAAACCGAAACCCTAGGCCTGTGAGACCCCGCTTTAAAATACACTAACGCTGGGCGTCTGAGACGGGCATGTTATGAACAGACATCCTGTCAAGGTCACGGCACCCATGCGAAATGAACAAACAGTATATCAATAGACTAGTGGCCTGTAGGGGCCATAGCCCCTAATTTAGACTACTATAAAAAAAAACATATATAAAAAGACAAATATTCTAAATATGTTTTTAAAATTATAAATTTTATGTTACTTAAAATTAACAGTGTTTCTTGTTTTATATAGGCTACTTGGTTTTACTTCTGTTGGAGTCGTATATTAGTTGCTTCTGATGTGTCAGTGAAATACAATTGTAGCCTAAAATAATGATTAAATCAATAACACAAGATATTAACAAATGTAAACGTGAACACGGTTTGGCCTGAGCCCGGAGAACGACGAATCAGAGCTGAAATCATACAGCCAAACATTGCACATCTTTTTTAGTTTGAAATTGAAGATTTGTTTTGTAATCTTACGAATTCTGTTATAGTTTCCATTTTGAGAACCAAGGCCAAAAAGGTAAAAATGTACACTAGTTATTATTAATTATTATGAAGGCAACTCCCCATTTCGCGGTAGTAAGTCAGAAATATATCTATGAATTTGTCCCTGAATTTTCCCTGAAACAGTAAGGCCCATTTCCCGGAATCTCTTTTTGTGTAGCGGAAAGCGACGCAAAAGCCATTGCACTGTTGTATTGCCTTGTGTTTTTTATGAAATTCGAATCATGTAAAAACAGTTCTTTTAGTTCGTCATTTACTTGTGGTTGTGGCATGTCCATTGTGGCAACATGCGTTGAAATGTCCATTTGTGGCCTCCTCTGCGAGGTGAAATGCGCCACAAAGCATGCAAGTGCTTTAAGAGGACCTAGATTGTGAGAAACAACACTCAACTTATTTTCCAGCGTTCTTCTAAAGACAGGTTGTAAAACAGCTTCTGGATTTCTTTCACTGTTAGGCCCTACATGACATTCTCTTTTGTATTTCTTAAGTCTGTTTAATTCCTGGACACTCTTCCACGTGTTGCAGGTCTTCCCCTACCCTGTCTAGTTACTTCACTCATAAAAACGGAAAACAATCATTTTAAAACATTATTTACCAACATTTACCTTTGGAATAAATGTAAACATTGCTAATAAATAAGTAACAGCTGAAAGAATGCAGACGTTTTTCAGTCCCCATGCATTTCTTATGGTGGATATTTTACGTTATATCTCGTTTTCTGGTAACTTTATAGGAATTCTGATATTTTTCCCGAGTCCCTGGGGTCAAGACCTTTAATTTAAGACCCCTCCCACTTTTCTGCGACCAAACCAAACGTCCACAATTTTCTGGTAAAAATTTGGTCTTACAGAATTATATATATAGATAGATAGGGGAGGAAAAGGGGGGAAGGTATTGGGGGAATGGAATCTCCCAAGTAAACAGTGTTGCCATAATGCGTTTGTGAAAATTCCCGTGGGCCTGTCAGACCGGGGTTTCGGTATTAGTGTTAATCCTGTAACTTAAGGTAAGCAACATCAACAGATTAAGGCTATATGACTCCACCCTTTAAATTGATTTTTCCATAATGATTGATTTTAGCAATAAACTAACTCAATGTTAGGCCTGTTGGTTGATTTTGATTCTATAACTAACTACAGTAGGATTAATGATAGGTATGCTAAGTTACTTGTGTTAACCTATATTAGACTAAACTTAGTTTAGCGAAGCAAGCGTACCGTAGCTCTCTTTCCTACCTGTTAAGATAGGCTACAAATAACTTCACTAATAAACTTTGCCTAACTTAATCAGTTCATTGTTATCTCGGCGCGTAGTAAAATTTGTATACTCCGTATACTTCGAACTCTAAAAAATTAAATTTCGAGATGTCTTCTTAAAGTTTTTTGCTTGCTGAATCCAAAAATGCAATAAGTTTTTGTCGGAAAGATTCCTGAGTGGCCTTAAAATTAAATAACAAATAAGTTAACAAATTGAAGTTTAATTTAGTTAACTTAATTTGGATGGTGGAGGTTTGGGGGAGTCCAAATTTTAAACTTCGCGGTGACTAGCACTTGAAGGGGAGTATGGTTTTTGGAGTGGAAACAGCTTTTAGTTTTGTTGGTGGGTTTTGCCTGGAACTACAGTTACCTATAACAAATTGTTGGAATTTGTTTAAACTTAATGATAGATTGTGGGAGTATGGTTTTCAGAATTTTACATTGAATAAAAATCACAGTTCAAAAAACAGTGCAGTTAAAGTTTATGTTATAATGAACCGAATTGTTAGTTTATGTTAGCTCCATACTGTTTTGGCACAATTAACTTAATTAAAATAATTATGGGTACTTTCCTGTTAAAGGGAACATTCATTATTATCGATGATTTTTTTTTTATATATTGATATTTTGTTTTCCTTTACGATACATTACAAATTGACAACCGATCGTTAGGCTAAATTATAGTCTAGATACTTCATACTTACTTCATACTTCTTTTCTTCATCTTTGACCAGCAGTTGCTGGATAGATTGAGTCGATACTAACTAAACTAATAATTAGAACTATGCAGTCCATCGTCACATGAATACATGAATACACATGAATCACACGATATGAAACTGTTCTAAGCTAACCTAACATAACCAACCAAACTTGCTGTATCGTTTAAAAATTCCGTTTGTAACAGAAAAGACAAGTGGAGAATTTTAAACGGAGTTTCTAATTTTACATAAAGTTTGGTTAGTTTTGTTAGGTTAGTTTAGAACAGTTTCATTTCAATATTTTTTAAAATTATTGTTTGTTGATTCTGAACAATATTTATTTATCGTAGTTGTCAGCTGATATGTTTCAATTTGTTAATATCGATAGATCGAGAAAAAAATAATCGATAATTATGAATGTTCCCTTAAACAGGAAAGTACCTAATTTTGTTAGTGAAACTCGACGAAATAACAATTTCAAAAATGTAAAACACTTAGGCCTTATACCGTACAGTCACAAATCTACATAAAACCTGACAAATCTTCCCCACATGCCTAAATAAGAACTGATTATTCTGTAATTGTTGCAGATCTGTATGGATCTGAATGTCATTTTTGTTTTTGTTTGTAAAGTTCATGTTAACAGCTGATCTTAGTCAGTAACAAGAAAGCTAGACAGCGCTCACTTCATACTACACTCATCCCTCACTCATATTTTGGTTTAAATACGCACCTAGGTGACGTCTTCATTTAAATTATTGAGGGTTTAAAAAATTGATAACACTTAACAGGTTTAAAAGTCCAAAGAGTTAAAAGTTCCAAAGACAAGTAAACACTGCATGTATTATATACATGCACACTATTTTGTATTTTTGGTTGAAGTACCGTAGGCCTACCAGTGTGTGGAAAAGTAAAATGAGTGTGAGAAAGTAAGTAAATGCAGGAATCAGCTACTTTGCATGTTATAATCAGTGCAAGAACACGCTTTGTCAGCTAGGCTAACTGTAGGAAAATGTAATTTTCCTAATCAAAGTGTTTTGGCTATGTACACTACCTATGTTTTGGAAGGGAAGGTACAAGTGCAGGAGGAAAATATTTGGTAGGTTAGGGTTAGGTTAGATAGGTAGCCTAAATGTAGATATAAGATCACTTGAAAACTGTATGAGTTTCTTTCTCCCAAGACGTATTGTGTATTCAAAACAACGTTTAACGCTGAAAAAGTCAAAATGGCGTAGATTAAAATTTTAAGACAATAAATTGTCCTGCACATTTTTACCCTTATCTAGATGCTTTTGGTACACTGTTGTCCTTGGTATTTTATTAAACTGCTCAATTTTGTTTGGACGGACATTTATTTATTTATTTATTTACCAACGGCAACACGCCAATTTACAAAGATAAAGTTTGACAGCTACAACAGTGAATGTTAGTGTTTTGTGCTAGGCATTAACAATAATAAACAATGAACAGAATAACAGTAATAGAAGCCGTTAGTTTTTGACCATCTCACAATAGGAAAGACGAGGTTTACGTGGGAAGAAGGCAGACTAAGAGCTGGTCAAGATGACGGTGGTCAGGTTCTTTCTACTATGCTAAAAAGAGACTTTAGTGAATTCCTGGATGAACTCAAACAGAAAGGACCGGGCGGAGACCGACCGCCGACACCCCAGGCTGCAGCTTCGGATCCAGGGTCGTACGCAGAGGCAGCGGCGAGGGGAGGCCAGAGGACGGAGAACGACTCCATCAACAACGAGGACGTCCACAACGGCTAGGAGATCATCGCCAATCCCCGGACACGACAACATGGAGAGGACCGGATAAACAGCATGAGTATAGAACTGAAAATTTTAGTTTATAATGTTTGCGGCCTAAAGGACAAGATTAGTGATGGCCATTTTGTTAGTTTACTTAATAATTATGATATTGTAATTTTACTAGAAACATTTATTTTAGAAAAGGATAAAGATTTAATTGTAAATAGCTTTGCAGGATTTATTGTACATTTTAATTTTGCAGTAAGGTCGTCCCATTTTGGAAGAGGCAGTGGGGGGTCGCTCTGTTTAGTTAATTTAAAATCTAAGCTACTAAGTAAAATTGAAGTGTTGGAAATCGAAAACTATAAGTTTTTTAAGATTAAAGATAGTAACAGTATTGATGATGGTTGTATCAGGCTTCTCCCAGTTTATCTAAATTTTGGGAACTGGGATAGTGAATTTGAGAAACTCACAACTTTTTTGTACAATAATGATTTTAAAAACTTAATATTGTTAGGGGATTTAAACGGGAGAATTGGAAGAGAACAAAGCCTGCCTAATGAAGTAATCCCGGAGGCAATAAAGAATGTTAATTTTGAGAGGTATTCAAAGGACTTAATAACAAATCAGAAAGGTCGTAAAGTACTAGAATTAATGGATAATTTGGGTCTAATAGTATTAAATGGGAGGACTTACGGAGATAAAAATGGGGAGTTTACTTTCGTGGGTCATATGGGAAGCTCTGTCATAGATTTGGTGGGAGTGTCAATCAATTGTTTGCATGCTGTCAAAGATTTAAATGTGTTAAGTTTTGTAGGATCTGACCACCTTCCTGTTGACCTTAGTTTAGAGATAACAGCTCCTAGAGCCGAGGATGAGATTGAGGACAGGGAGGAGAGTAATAAGATATTTTTGCTTCCTAGATTAAAGTGGGTAGATAATGATAAGGAGAGGTATTGTAAAGTAATTGGCGAGAAACTATTAAGTGTGCAATTAGGAGACGACGCACAAAGGAATGTCGATTCAATTATAGGCTGCATCACTGAATCAGCGCGAACTAAACAAGTTGTACCCAAGAACAAATGTCTTATCAGTAAAAAGGCTTGGTTCGATAAGGAGTGTCAGTCAGCTCGTAGGCGCTCATTCAAACTCTTGAATAAGTTTCGGAAAACTAATTTAGATTTAGATAAAGTAAAATACTTGGAGGTGATCAAATTATTTAAAGCACTTTGTAAAAAAAAGAAAAAATCTTACTACAATCAAATTATAGATAATGTGTCTCAAGTAACGAACAGTAAGCAGTTTTGGAGTGCAATAAATTCTTTCAAATGTAAAATTCCAAACCAAATTGGTAAAATTGCGATACAGGATTGGACGAAGCATTTTAAGAGTTTATTAAATCCACCCTTGTTAGTATCTACTGTTTCGTATGCACAGCCAGTAGTTTGTGACGAATACCTCGATGCAAATATTTCACTAGATGAATTAAAAGCTGTGTTGTTAAGGGTAAAAAATGGCAAAGCACCTGGCATTGACAGGGTGCCATATGAGTTTTTTAAAAACGCACCGGATGCATTACTTAATAGTCTTATTTATATTTATAATAGTATTTTTGAGAGTGGCAATGTCCCACAAACTTTCAAGGAGTCTATTATTTTTCCTTTACATAAAAAAGGCAACATTAATGACGTCAAAAATTATAGAGGGTTGTCCTTTATCAACTGTGTAGCTAAGATTTTTATAAACATTTTAGATTCAAGGTTAAGTAATTGGGCTAGTGATAGGCAGTTAATAAGTGAGTTTCAGGCGGGATTTAGGAGAGGTTATTCAACCATCGACAATATCTTTAACCTAAATGCGATTGTGCGCCTAAGGCTGGCAAGGACCGGAGGTAAGCTATATGCTTTCTTTGTTGACTTCTCGGCAGCATTCGATACTATTGATAGGAAGTCGCTACTATTTAAGTTATCCTGTCTAGGTGTTTCAACAAAATTTTTAAATATTTTTAAGAACTATTATGATGGTACTAGAGCGGGTGTGTGGTGTGGAGACAGTGTGACAGCAAATTTTGAAACTTCGACAGGTCTTAGGCAAGGATGTTCTGCGAGTCCTTTAATGTTCACTTTATTTATTAATGATCTCCCTGAGGCACTTGGTGGCGGCTGTAATTTTGGAGGGACTAGGATAAACATTCTTTTATATGCCGACGACGTTGTGTTGTTAGCGCCTACGTCCACCTGCTTACAACTTATGATAAGAAATTTAGAAACTTACTGTGAAACATGGAATTTGAGAGTTAATCTTGAAAAATCAAAAATAATTGTTTTCAGAAATGGGGGTAGATTGGCCTCGTCAGATAAATGGTGGTTCAATGGGAAACGTGTAGAAGTAGTAAACAGCTATAAATACCTCGGAGTGTTATTCACAGCGACGTTATCTTGGCAATCACATTTTAAAGATAAAGCGAGGCAAGCAAAATTAGCAATTAACTCGGTGTGGAATAACTTAATCAATAATAAATCTGTGCCTTTATCATCTAAAATTATGTGTTTTAATTCCGTCATAAAATCAATTGTTAGTTATGGGGCTCAGGTATGGGGTTGCTTCGAATCTGAATTCCTAGAATCCGTTCAAAAATTGTTTTTAAAGAGACTCTTCCGATTGCCTTATAACACGCCAAACTATGTGATTTATTTAGAAAGTGGATTTAAAAAATTGTTTTTTTATAATATGATTACGAATTTAAATTACCTATTAAAAGTACTACATTTCCCCGATAATAGACTTCCTTTGATTCTAGCCAAACAAATTATAAACCATAACTTAGATTGGTGCAGACAGTGGAAGATGCTAGGTGAGAAGGTAGGGGTTGATGTAGATTTTGGATCAGAGGCGGTAAAATCGAGATGTCTGACGGTGGTGGAAAAGCTGAGTGACGTATGGATAGGAGAGTGTATAGGGCGCGCACGCACGTCCATTCACCACAGTCAGCTGATCAGCCTCGACCTTGGCCTTGAACTTGGCGATAGAAGCTACCTTACTGATAACGCCGATGTCAGCTTCGTTTCCTGGATAATTAAGGCTAGGGCAGAGCTGCTCTATTTGAATGGTAAACCTTGGTCAACGGGAAATAAGTTCTGTTCTCTTTGTAATATGGGTGAAATTGAAACCACATTTCATTTCATCGCTATTTGTCCAATTTTAAGTAATCTTAGATTAACATTTTTACACAATAGAGTCCTTTCTGAATGGGATTATATTAGTTTTTTAAATGGCAGGGATTGGCGAGCGTTAGTAAATTATTTAAAAAACGCCTGGCAATACAGGTGGATTTTAATACAAGAATTTAACAATTGAGGAAAAAATATCATAAAAAATTTAAATATCATACTCTTCCAAACTTCTAAAAAAAAAAAAAAAAAAAAAAAAAAAACCGATATAACTAGAGAAACTGGTTGGATTGTATTATATTTCTTAACTTTAAAATAATGGCCATAATTGTTAGTTTAAGGAAAGATTTATAATTTTATTTTAAAGGAATCCAATAATTGTTTTGATTTAGTTTTAGACGTGCCAACCCGGCAGACGACCGAAAGGTCATTGCTGTAGCGCGTAGGCACGTCCCCTGCGTGGGACGAATTATTGTGCACTGGGTATTTTGGAAATAAAGCGCTTTTTCTTTCTTTCTTTCTTTCTTTCTTCTTTCATGTATGCTGTTGCTTTTCTGCTAACTTATTCTGTTTCATAGTGAGTTATTGCAAGTTAATCCTGACTTTGCTTGGAAATAGTTTGCTCTGTCAGATTTTGTTAAGAAACGTCTTTCAAGTGTGTTTTATTCATGTGAGGCGGAAAGTCCCGATTGTTTAGAAAACAATGAGAGGTATTACCAGTCAGTACAAGTGTTCAGTGACGGCTTATCTCAAAATGTCACTACTTCTCCAATCAGATGTCAGACATGTTAATCTCATTGTAGGATTGCGTTGTGTACTTGTGACATTGGTTTGGTGAACTGATTTTGAAGATTCGGCTTTTTCCAGGTAATATGTTCAAATGGAATATATCAGATTTTATTAACACATCATTTTGCATATTACAAAAATATATAACACTCTCGAAACACTATTCAGTGCCATAAACAGACATTTTTCCTGAATTTACAAATTAAATGGAATATCTCAATCAGATTGTAACACATAATTTAAATATTACAAAACCTATAACACTCTCATAACACAATTGAATGCCATAAACAGACATTTTTCCTGAATTTACAAAGTCAGTATCATATCCAAATCTTAACTGACCTGAAATTTATTTATTATGACAGCCATCATTTTGCAAAGTAACAACGGTGGTAGAATTTTATACAATAAATAAAATCTTAGTAACATACATGGACTGTGGGGGAAATTCAACTCCAAACTAAATCAAAATGTAGCTTATACAAAACAACAAAATCTTTTCTACAAAAGAAGGGATGAAACATCTAAATACATTATATTGAAGTTAATACAATAGTACTAAACACATGTGCAATTAAATCCCCAAACATCTATATAGGGATGTGATGTGGAAAGGAAATAGGGACCTCTTGTCGGGAATTTTGGATTTTGAGTTTTATATATATTTGAATTCCTTATTAGGCTAAGTTCCGAAACGATTGTTGCAAGTCCCTTGCATGTATGATTTTTTTTGTTAAAGTTAAAGGATTTTGAAGTTTTGTTATGGAAAAGGGTTATTTTGAGAAAAACTGTTTTGAAAATTTCAAATACGCATTAAAACGGTGTTTTTTGTATTTAAGAAATGATTTTGGTAACAAAAGAAAGCTTATAATGTCCTCTTTGGAAGCAATACAAATTTTGTTCTTAACTCACGGTAGTTTTCATTTAAATAACTTTTTTATTGAAGCATGTCTTAAAAATTGCATTTCAGAAAAGGGACCTCTTGTCGGCCCTATGTTATTTCTTTATAAGATAAGAAAAGGTACCTCTTGTCGGGACCACACAATTTGTGAGATATTTTGTTCTCCGTGAACTGAACTTTGATGTAAGTTCTCTCAATTTCTATTAGAATGCAGACAATTTATTTTTGGACTAAAATCTGTTTAAAAGGTGAATATTAGAAATGGGACCTCTTGTCGTTATGGCAAAATAACATTGAGCAACATGAGGTACCTTTTCTCAGACTGTGCAGAGGCTAACAAAATGATTTATTTCAACCTTTTGCATCATCAATTCGATATTTTAACCGATACTGTCATGTGCTATGTTAAATGAGGTTAAACAATCGATACAACCCCGAAATTCTATATTTTCTACCTTTATTACTTATATAATGGCCGTACTGAAAATTTTGCATCCCCAACAAGAGGTCCCTTTTCCCTCTCCACATCACATATTTAATACGCTAGGCATATTTTTGTCATAATTGATTTGGAGCGGTGGTGCTACCGATCACCATGTCCAAATTTTAACTGGTAGACAAGAACGAAATACAAATAATACTACTGTCATTGATAGCCGAATACAGCAAGCACCCTTCTGTGTTGGGTTTAAGTGTGCTCTCCAACAGCCGCCTGAAGATTTCACATTCAATTTAGGACTGTTGGATAATTGCTGCATAAGCTGTTGATTTTGGAAGACAAGGAGGCGGGTATGACTACATCGGAAACAGAAGAGAGGAGATATTAGATGAGTGGCAAATGCGTTGGGAGCAGAGTGTTTTATGTTAACGTTTTAAAAATAAACGTTCGTATATATACCTAACATCAGAAAGAGACTGGGTGGAAGAGGAAGTGTGTAGATGTGAAAAAATAAAAACCACGAGTCACGTATAAATTGTTCACTTCAGGAGACAAATAGGAGAGAACAGGAGGAATAAGTCTTGGCTTGGATAAGATAGGTCAAGAGATGTGAAAATAAAACATGATGAGTTACAAGGAAGCAATTGAAACGTTTAGAAAAGTAGCTAAGGAAAACCAGGGATACATACAGGCGTTACAATTTAAAAGAAAGAAACAAACAAAAACTTTAGATAAGGAATGAAAACTTGCCCATGAATGGGGAGAGGAAAGGTTAGAGCGAATTCCAATGATCCCTACCGCTCAGGGCGGTATGGGGAAGGGAGTCAAGCTGTTAGGCTTTTGGACACCTGTCTGAAAACCTATTGCGGGTATGAGTAAGGCTATTAGTAGAAAACACTATTTACATTAAATGTTGATTATATCGATCTGTTATGTACATCTTGAGTATTTTCATAATCATTGAGTCGAATAGTCATCAGAAATTATGACTGTTATTCGTTTTAAAATAACGCCTGTAATACTTAACATTGCCCGAATTCGAGCAACAGGTACACTAGTTTCAATAAAACTCTCAATTTGATATTAAATGTGACAATTTCACACAAGCTGTTTAAATTGGTCAAAGACAATTTTTTAATGCAAATCTAATAGAACAAGGAAACAAAATGTAAAATACAGAAAGATTATGTGAGTAAGATATCGTTCTTCAATTCCAAATATTTCAATATTATGTCAAGTTTATTATTCCTAGTTTATATGACTTTATTTTCTAATTATTTGTTATTACAACTTAGCATGTCCTTATTTGTATTTACATTTTCGGTGCTGTTGTATAACAGTTCCCTAATTCTAGTGCATTTGATTGATCATTGTTATGAATTATGTATACTGTATTGGGTTGACTAAGCCATTGAAGAAAAGAAGTAAGAATTAATGATTTGTTCAGCCATGATTTGGTTGCCATTAGATTAAATTTTGTTGTTGTTTCTATTTGAATAAGTGTTGAAAATGCATCTCATCAACTTCTTGTTCGATTGATAGTATGACTGTTTTTGTTTAAGAATAAGGAGTACAACATTGTCCTATCCTCTTTCTAATCATTTTCTCCAAGTACATGTCTTATTTGAAATTGTTTTATTTTATTTCCATTCCAACGGAAATACCATTACAAAATTGATACAGGTATAATTAATACAATCTTAAATACTTATAAATAAATATAGCAGCTATACAAATAAAAAATTGTTATTTTAACAGGAGTAAAATTAATGCTAAATAACAGATAAATGTATAAATAAACATTTTACGAGTTTAACAAAACAAGAAACACTACTCTATATGTTTACATGCACATTGATTACTATAGTTATTTGTGTAACTAGTGGTGAAAGTGGCACTTTGCTGCAATGTTTACGCACGAGCCGCAGGCGAGTGTGGAATGATCTCGAGTGCAGCAAAGGCCTTTTTCACTCGTGTTACACATTATATTTTTCCTACAGTCACTATAAAGCATATAAATAATTAGTCTTTCAAACACTATGCAACACGTTTTTAGGTTCAGCTGGCAACACAAATGGTGCCCTAGAGAAAGTAGTACCCGCGGTCCATATCACTCCGCTATTTTTCCTCGGCAAGAAATGTGCTCCGCGTTTTGAGAATACAGTTCCGTATGTTTTTGTAATTTGAAGTGGTTTCCGCGCCTAAAAAAAATGCTTAAAAGGTATTTTCTTGTTTATTAAGATCGTAGGAAGGTTTTAAAAACGTTTAAAAGAAAAGTCCAGAAAGTTCAGAAATACCGAAACTATAAACACAAAATGACAGGTTAAATCGTAGTTATAATAGTCAATCAGCTGCTCATAGTATAATTATCTTTAAGTGTTGCCAACCTATTTCCAAGCGTACACGGATTACGTGCATAATGGAACCACGCTGTTTTGTGTTGTTTCGTTGGAATCCTGATGTGCGGCAAAGTATAAACCGTACGGCAAAGTATAAACCGTACGGCAAAGTATAAATATGCAGCAATTAGCAGCTTTCTGTACTATAAACAGTACAAGGAAGCCAACTTTGTCGGGTGACTGTAGGAAAAATATTTTATATAGAGTATAATACTACTTGTATAGACTATAATAAATATCATTGTTGATCTGCTGATCGTTTTTTTAAAAGTTTGTTTTGTTGCAGGGAGCCAAGAGAACAACGATGAAGTAACTCTGTTTTTATCCCGAAACAATCTCTAGTCATCATAATGCTCAGTAAGTAGCCAATATATATTTCACTGGCTTAAAAGTGTATTTTTTCTAACAGGTTGTCCCGGCTTATTTCGTAGATCGTGTTAATTGTCAAATATGAGTTTTTGACTGAGATAATTTCTGCATAGTTCAAAGATCCGCTTTATCGTTGCATCAAAATTGTTGAGCTTGATATGCATAAATAGGGAGTCATATTGGCCTAGTCAAATTATAAGGAAACTCGTAAGATTACAAAATTATAGATTGTATGGTGATGTCTTTAATTGTAATCTAATATATTTAAAAAAATTGGTTTTTCTTTTCCGAGATCGTTTGGCTCTTCTACCCAATGAATTTTCATGATTGAGGTCTCAAATTGAAGGCATGCATGCACATATTTCACATCAAAATCGGCATATATTTATCTACACTATCACTCGGCTTATACGTAAACAAAATTTGCTCCCCATGTATTTCTTATGGGAGTTAAATTTGGTTTTTCATTCCCGAATTTGTTTGGCTCTTTTCTACCTGACCGATTTTAATAATAGAGGTCTCAAATTGAATGTATGCACACACAGATTTCACACCAAACATCGGCATAGATTTATCTCCTGTATTACTCGACGAAAAAACATAAATTTTATTTTTTTTATTTTTTATTTCTTACTTTAATTTAAGATGTATTTCACCAATTATAATTATATTATCCTATATATTTTGGTCTCAGAACCTTCAGTGAAATGAGGGCTTTCATTTAAGCTATTATTCATTCAAATTGGACAAGGTTCAAGAAAACACAAGGTACTGTAAATAACCAACATAAAAATTATTTTTATAAGATTTTTCTATGATTAAAAATAAATAGCTCCAGTTGTCTTATTTTATTTTTTTTAGACTCACAATAATCAGTAAATTATAGGCTTTAATTTTAGCTATTGATCGTTTTAATCAGTTAAGTTCAAGTTACTGTATTAATCATTCAAAAATCACAATTTTGATTATTTTGCGAATATGATATTTATTTCAACGCTGCGGAGTAGGACGGGTCCTTTAGTGTTTAAGTACACAAGTAGTCTTGTTTTTATATCGTTCAAATTCCATTTACATAAAAATATATTTTTTGTCCTTGAATTGTACATCTTAACCTTTTAAATCTCAATATATGATTATAACCCAAGATGTTCTGCAAAATGGAATCTTGGAGAGGGAGGAGGGTTCTTGTCATTTTGAGTTTTACTCCCCCCCCCCCCCCAACCACATGACTTTATTTATGTCAGTAACATAATTCAAAGGTGTTACTTAACAGGCTTTGCGTAGCTTATTTGTTTATATAAGAATAAAATAAATTAATATAAAATTTTAAATAAAAACAAATAAATTACTAAAACTATATCAGTGTTAGTGTTGAAACTCACAAAACAAGAATGTGCTGTATTGGTGTGAAACAGCATATTCCAAATTGACCATTTCCTTTACAGTTTTTTACCCGTGCAAACATTCAACAAAGGTAAAATTAGGCCACAAATTATTTTTACTGACCGTCCTTCGTCCATATTACCACTTTCATTTGAAAACTACTCGTTTAAACTCATGTATACTCAGTAGGCTACAAATTGCTTGTCTGTCAGGTAGGTAAGAGTAATTTGTATGTTTCCACATTGCAGTAAATGATTATTTGATGTTAAATTGTTTAGTATTTTTGACTAGCATTCTCCCTTAAGTTAGGCCTATATGTAAATGATAGTTATTTGAAACTGATTATCTTTACTTAACATGTTTGTTATAGTTTGCTACACTTCAGGCTTATCCCATATCCCCACAATTACTTAGTAGGTTAATTGCTTTTTACTCTTTCCTTATCTTTTTGCATTCCCACTAACTAGGTATTCCCATTTGTAGTTTGTGGTGAATAGTGAAAGTTCTGCAGTTTTGTAAAGTTTAGTGATAACGTGGTCAACAGGATCAATAATTTAATAGAGTTGCAGATCATACATTTTTTAACTTAAATTTCATCAAACCTTTTATACAGTCACTACCACATAGCTGATTGAAACAAATAAATAATAATGTTTAGTAAAGACTAAGTAGTAAGTTCGTTAATTTTTATTGTGATAGTAAAGTTGATATTTGTCATACTGCAGCAAAAACGTTTTATTACATGTGTTCCAGGCATAAAGCAGCTTCTTTACTCCCTAGCAGCATTTCCCAACCTTTTTTCTATTCAGGGCACACTAACTAGAACACGTTTTTAGTCACGGCAATCTTGTCTACAAAAATATTGTTGGTTAAAATTACACTTAATAGGTAACTTGTTTTTTTTTCCAATTACATCTTACTCTGTAAAACATGTTATTTGCTAGTAAATATATATAAAAGTGGGTTTACCAAAGTAAATAATAAAAAAAAATCACATTTGTTATATAACATGTACAGTATTAGTGTTTATTTAATGGGAAGTTTTAAATAATTAAACATTGAAATCAACCAAAATATTGTATGAAATTTACCAATAATTTGTGAGAAATATTTAATAATACCTGGTTTTAGATCTAGTGAAAAACTTTTGCTTTGCGTTTGTTCATTAAAATTTTCTTTCTTGGACGAGTGGTTGACAAGCAGACCCTCATATCGTCTCCCAAAGTCTTTAGTTGAGAACGGTTTTTGGTATTTAATGCGTTCATTGATGAGAATGCAGCTTCACAAATATACAAAGTAGAAAAGGACAATATTGCTATCAAGGTCTTCATTGAAATAAATGGATACTACTCCCTTGGTAATGGAATCCAAAAAAGATTAAATATCAATACTCACTTTAGTTTTGTTTAGTTTTGACCCACGATACATAAATCTTACACTAAATTATACTCCGCGCCAAAGCTGGTGGCGGCTGAGGGATTAGGACGGCCAGGTAGGACTACATAGGTCGGACCTGCTCACCGACCTGGCTGTCCTAATCCCTCAGCCGCCACCAGCTTTGGCGCGGAGTATAGTGTACTGTAGCTTTAAACCCCGATCACTTTTAAAGTTGATCAGCTCACTTTCTTCATCAGTGGTAAACACTGCAGACTTTTAAGGATTTCTCACCCAGTCCAATAAGGAAATATCAAGGAATAAAAAATACATTTTATATTTTGATTTTCTCAAACATACGTACAGACTTTTCCAAATTAGGTTAGAAAGAGTTGAGTCAATGTGACAATATTTTGTCAGACTAGCTCTTACTAGTGGATAGTTAGTGAACTATCAGAAGGCAGAAATTGCGCTATTGAATTCTACCGGGTGAGATTCGAACTATTAGTGAAAGAAGCTGAATGTAGGGATGGTGGGGAGTGGAAGTTGGGGCTTGGCATCCAATACTAACAAGTAATGCAACACAAAAGAACACGCTGCCGTGAACGTGCAACTGCACAACACTTAAACATGACTATTACGAGATCAAAACTTTTTAACTACTCAAAATTATTTCGCTGCACACCTACAGAGGCATTCCAGTATAACAGTGTTCCGCGGCACACTGGTTGGGAAACACTGTAAGGAGTAAAAGGCCTCTTTATAGTCAGGCCCTAAGAAGTAAAAGTCAGCTGTTCTAAACTCAGTTATAAACTTCAATAGTAAGCAATCACATTTATCGAAATTATGTATTGATTGATTTCATCGGTTGTAGGTTATTTTTGCATTCTTACACAATCGTAATAGACATAATGTTTGAATCTCTGCTTATTATTGAATGGGAATGTTGCTGAAAGTCAACAGTCCCGGAAGATCAAATAATTTATACCTGTGCCGCTAGGTCAAAAACTACAATGTTTGCAGTGTCTGTAGATCAAAAATCCCAGTAAGTCAAATAGTACAGTCCGAGCTAAAAACGTGGTCAATGTTAAAGCAATTGACTTATTGGGAATTTGACCTAATGCAACAGCAGTTTTAATATAACGAAATACGGTAAAATACAAGTTCAGTTTCGCTGAGTCAACAGTGCCGGAAGATCAAAAGCAATAAAAGTGAACGTCGATTCAGTGTAAAGTAGACCTCCTGCAACGCTTACTACACCAACAAAACTTGCTTTTAGTTACTTCGTGTTTTGTCATAATTAGAATAGAGCTAAAATTATCATATTTGGTACATAGCTTATCTATTAATGCTTCTTGCCAACTGTTTGGTCAACACTGTAAATAGGTATAGTTTATGTAATGAAAAGCCTTTCGTCAAAATTTGTGGCATAAAATACACGCAAGGACAATCTGAAAATTTCTGGTTATTATACGTTTGTAAAAGGAGATCCATTTAATTTTAGAACTATTTTATAAGTTATAATGTAGTCTACACATAAACTGTGTAAATGTATTACGCCTCGGAAGGGTTGAAACCTGTCCAAACTATCATATACAGGGTGTCCCGGAACTCTCTACCAATATTTTAGGGCATTGCTTCTGGGTAAGAAACATGCCTAAATATCATATTTAAATTGTCCGGAAGTCCTTAGTTACTCACACAGCCGCCATTTTGTTTTTTCCAGTTATTAATTTTTTTCGAAAGAATGGTTAAACATACGAAATGGAAACTTTGCACAAACATTAATGACAACTAGACAAAGCTGCAAAAAAATTATGAGGATTTTTGAAATTCATAAAACAAAATGGCGGCCATTTAAAATTTTTATAAAATCAACGGTTTTTGAGCTATTTAAGAAACAAAATTTTTAATTGGTCGCCATTTTGTTTTATGAATTTGAAAAATCTTCATAATTTTTTTGTTGCTTTGTCTAGTTGTCATTAATGTTTGTGCAAAGTTTCCATTTCGTATGTTTAACCATTACTTAGAAAAAAATTAATAACTAAAAAAAAACAAAATGGCGGCTGTGTGAGTAACTAAGGACTTCCGGACAATTTAAATATGATATTTAGGTATGTTTCTTACCCAGGAGCAATGCCCTAAAATATTGGTAGAGAGTTCCGGGACACCCTGTATATATTATTAAAACTTAAATATGGTTTTTTCACATTCTGAATCAACCAGTCGAC